ACCACTACCACCACTACTACCACTACCACTACCACTACCACTACCACTACCACTACCACTACCACTACCACCACTCTTATCACTACTACCGCACTACTACCACTACCACTACCACTACTTCGACGACGACGACCACAACGCCCATGACGACCACGACGACCACGACCACGACGACCGACGACCGTGACGATCGCGACGACCGCGACGACCGCGACGACCGCGACGATCGCGTCGACCGCGACGACTGCGACGACCACGACGACCACGACGACCACGACGACCACGACGTCCGTGAACGACCGCGCACGACCGCGCAAGACGACCACGACGACCGTGCACACGACGACCACGAGGACCGTGCACGACGACAACGACGACCACGACGACCACGACGACCGTGCGCGATGACCACGACGACCGTGCACGACGACCGTGCACGACGACCGTGCACGACGACCGTGCACGACGACCACGACGACCACGACGACCGTGCACGACGACCGTGCACGACGACCGTGCACGACGACCACGACGACCACGACGACCGTGCACGACGACCGTGCACGACGACCGTGCACGACGACCGTGCACGACGACGACCGTGCACGACGACGACCGTGCACGACGACGACCGCGACGACCACGACGACCACGACGACCACGACGACCACGACGACCACCACGACGACACGACGACCACACGACCACGACGACCACGACGACGACGACCACGACGACCACGACGACCACGTTCACCACGTTCACGACGACCACGATGACCACGACGACCACGACGACCACGACGACCACGACCACAGCTACAACTACAATTACAACTACACTACATTACACTACACTACACTAATTACACTGCAGTACATTGAGACTACAAATACAACTACCATTGCACTAATTGCATTACACTACAACTACACTGCAACGGCAACTGCAACTGCAACTGTAACTACCATCACACTACATTACAGCTACAGCTACAACAACAACTGCCACTATGCTACTTTACACTACACTACACTACACTACACTAGACTAGACTAGACTAGACTACACTACACTACACTACACTACAACTATAGCTACAGAACACTACGCTGCATTACGCTAGACTAATTACACCACACCACACCACAACTACAACTGCAACTGCAACTACACTACGCTAATTACACTACATTACAACTACAACTCCACTACACTACAACTACAACTACAACTACGACCACAACTACAACTACAACTACAACTGCGCTACACCACACCACATCCAGCAGTTGTGGTGAGGTGACCACTGCAACTCCAACCACCTTTCGGTCCATCAGTGGATTCGCTCTGCCACCCATGCATCACAACAACTCACCTTTCCTATAGTGTCCTATCCTTGAAACTTCCGCCACCGCCTTGTGCAGCACTACTGGTAAACATATGTAACATATGTAATATATTAGTTGAGCATAGCAGACGTACGCGGCCAACGGGGTGGCGTTGATTTTGTTTGACTGATTTTGGAACAAGTCCGTTGTGGCAAGGAAATTCAAGGTGTTGCCAAATGACTCAACCTCGGTTTGAGCACCTTAGAAAGTACCACAAGATTCTGGACCCCCAAGTTCTCAGCTTTGCCGCGTTGCCTTCTAAGGAATTCATCGGTACTTTCCTCCTGATCTTTACTGTTGAGTGCAATGTGGTGGTGTCTTGGCACATACTGCTTGATAAACAGTTGCCACTGTTCCGCTCTTTTGGTTTCCTTTGCCTTGCATCCACTCGTCAAAGTTTCCGAGGTCGGCTCCCCTCTTTTCGCAGGCCTCTCGATTGGCACGGTCCTCTTTGTGGCAATCCAGGTCCTGCATGTGAAGCCTTTGGTGATGGCATTTGTACTTCAAGGGTGCACATATCTTTCTGTGCCTCGTGGCATAGAAACTATTGCACCTCTTTAAGAGAGGGCGATCTTTCAAGTTCTCACCCAAGTTTGGTGCACACTTTCTTTTTGTGGAATCCTTCATATCCTTTCCTTCCGCAGAAAATGCAACATCCAGACAGATCGAGACCATCCTGCCGGCTCGCCGGCCTTGGACAGGCCTTGGGAGGCATCAGTGGCGGCAACTTTAATCCTGCCGTGTCGGTGGCATTGGGCTGTGTGAACTCAATGAAGGGCCCCGGCATGGATTGGAAGCAGGCTGGATCTGTGCATTCTGAGCCATGAAACGACATAGAACATCATGATTATGATGCATCTTCCGAAAGCTGTGCATACTTGCAATGTGATGATTTATCGATATTTACAGTATCATTTATTAAACTTACTGTTAGTTTTCGTCCAGTGTTCAGATTGCTTGCTGTCCATTCAGCTAGTACCAGAGCGGTGGTCAAGACTTGGTCAGGTGGGCATGTATTGCATCTCGCAGGCACAATCCCGGGCTAGTTGCAATTGGTTTCTACGAGGAATCCTCTACTTGCAGGGGACATTCAATAGCAATGTGCTGTAAAGCCTCTCAATGTGGTCTGTCTCTGTCTCTATCTCTGTCTCTGTCTCTGTCTCTGTCTCTCTCTCTCTCTCTCTGAGACTTTGTTGATTCTCTTGATTCTGTGATCTACACGAAATTGTGGCCTCTTCAAGTTGTCTCTGCTTCACCATAGGCATATAATGCAGTGATTGCAATGCAACGTCAACGTGCTTTACTGTCTTAGCTTTGTTGGAAGATCTTGGAATTACGCCACGAAGTTCTGTCCGGAGAAAAAGCTGATTTAGATCTAATATGTTCTCATACTGCAGACTACATGGAATGAATCTACAGCCCATACTGCAAGAACGAAGATATAAGTCTCGCGGATTTTTGAAGAACTGTTACCTGGTACCTAGGATCAAGAAAGAGCTCTAAAAAATTTCAAGTTGAACATCTGTTGAGATGGAACCTGACTTGAATTCATGTTCAACTCGTGTTCGAACGCCACTTGACTGCAGATCTGCGGGGGTGTCACTGCTGCAGTGATTGCCGCTGGCATGTTCGGCAAGTCTGCATCTCTTGAGGCGGCAGCAAAAAGCAGCAGAATTTTGCCTTCACTTGAAAGGCTTCCACCAGCCTGACCAGTCTCCATTATAACTTCACTTGAAAGTATTGAAAGTATTTGAGATTGTTCGTATATGTTCGTATGTCTCACCGCCGAGATCCGCCGAGGGGAAAGACCATTTTACATTTGTTTGCATTTGGGAAATTGGGAAGCTTTAGAAAGTAGGTTTTGGGAAGTAGATGCTTCAAAGTCGACGGAAATGACTCCCTGATGGAAGTAGATGCTTCAAAAAGACTCCCTGCTTCCATCAGGTGTCACGCGGTTATTCCTTGCTGTCAGCTGGATTGTCTGAGTTCTTCTACACCTTCATGTGCCCAGGTTGAAGGCTGCGATTCCAGTGGGCAGTGAAGATTGAAATGTGGATGAAAGATTATGAAAGACAGCCACAACATGTCACAAAGATTCACAAAGTATGCTTGTGCATGCTGCATCCATGAGGGAAAAATGCTATGCTGGCAGTAGTCCAAGGCTTTGCTTTGTGGTGCTGAACGTTGCTGCAGCGAAAAAGAATAAAGAGGCAGGTACAAATCGTGACGGATGGGACGGAGACACACAACTTCACGTAACCACATTTGGCCTATGAAGTCTCAATAAAAGTGTTGGTGCCATTCCCACTCCCTGCTCAAAAAAGATCACGCTGCCTGCGGGGCTTTGGACAAAATAAGGCAGGTTCAGCGCTCGACCAGGCGCACATGTGGTTATTTTCAAACCATTTGTATCCGTTTGTCATTTCTATTTCTATTCATTATGAAAGACGTTTTCGGCTTGTGGGGTAGGATCTCTGTAAAGGGGCTTGGAAACCAGGTGTTTTCTGCAAAAACGCAGTTTTTTTAAAATGTTTTCAGCGAAAGAAATCAAAGAAAACGCTTTTTTTTACAATTTTCCATGAAATGTCAGATTTGGCCCAATCCAGATGGCTACAAAACTTGGTTTTTGGCCGTTTTCACTAGAACGCTGAAAAACGGAATTATCGATTTTTCCATTTTCCAGAGATTTAGATAAAACCGATAAAACCCGTTTTTTTCAAAGTTTTGATGGTTTCCGGTGTTGCAATAGACTATTCATTTCAATCATTTCAATCTGTTTCTAACCTTCAGGAGAAGGGACAGTACTATGCCCTGGCCATCGGCTTTTGCGTGATCGCTGGTGCTTATGGGGCTGGTGTCATCTCTGGTGGTGCCTTCAACCCTGCTGTGGCCTTCTCTTTGGATGTTACCAGTGCCTTGGGAGCTGAACGACTTCCCCAAACCTGGAAATTTAGCAATAGTCACAATACAGTAGTCTTTTAATATCTTTTAATAATTATCAAATGTGAAAGACCATGAGATTTTTCATGAATTTTCAAAGTTCCAAGAGAGTGCTTTCCGAATAGTCGGAACAGAGCGTCAGACTTCGCTGTCTGGGATTGGGAACAGAATATGAAGGCTGCAGACATGACCCAGATTCACAGGAGTGGGCAGGAACATTGCGTTGCACAACGCTGCGTAGCTTCGATGTGAACACGTTAATTACCTTTGTCTTGCTTTCCTGACTGTTGGAATACACGATTGGTCTTATACGTTAACCAGGGTTTCTTATGCTGATTCTTCTTTGCCTTTGGCTGTCGTGAAACTCTGGGCTGAACTCCTTTGCCTGCCCTTTGGCAGATCAGTGTGAAGGTTTGAGCCGCGGCTTTGGTACTTGCTTCTTCTATGCGTTATTCGAGCTTCTTGGTTGACACGTTTGATATGCGCACTTGGTCTTTCTGAAGGACGAGAGGATTTTAGCGGAATGATGGCATTGCTTCTATGTTTGAAAGTGTGCACTGAACGACTGAACTGGAGTTTGCTTGCTGTTCAAAGCACGTCAGGTTGCTTGGTGCGGTGCTGGCAGCCTTCCTCTTCAGCAAAGTGAGACCCACGGACTTCGGTGCCCAGATGAGTGCTGGGAAGCTCCAAGAGCAATTGATACTTGGACTCGACTTGGACAATGGGAAAATTTATGGACATTTGAGTGGGTGCTACTGTGGTCCAACGTTTTGGAACATCGGCCAGCTGAGTTTGCAACACCCTTTGTCCTTATCGACCTCTTTGTTTTCTTGTTTCACTGGGCTGACACGTCCATGGCAATGCTGCAATGCTCTGAACATCTTTCAATCGAATTCATTGACAACGACAGCTTGAGCCAAGATTCTAAAGCAATTTTCAGGGCATGGGGTCGGTCACCTAGGTCTGGCAAGTGCATTTGCTAGCTAGACTCAATTTTGATTCTCAGGCTCAGTGAGTTCTTGGGCGTTTTCATGCTGGTCTTCACGGTATCCTGCAACATCATGGGAGGCTGAGATATACTTTTGATTTTTGCCACAGAAAATGCATATGAAATCTGAATTACTTTTGCCTCATGTGGCAGGATCAACTGCTGGAGCCCTCAGCATTGCTTGCTCACTCTCTGCCATGATCTATGCGCTCGGCGATGTCTCAGGCAGTGTCCCTTGTGTGTTTGGCCTTGCTAAGGCATCATGCTGTATGACATCATGCAATAAAGAGCGCAGCAAAATGTGTGACATGTGTGATGTCTTTTAATCAGATGTGATCAGATGTGATGCACCTTCTGGGAGGTGGCCATTTCAATCCCGCGGTCAGCTTTGCTGTCTACCTTGCTGGACGTGACGACAGCTTCACGGGCAAAAAGGCAGCACTGTACGGTGTGGTCCAAGTGGTGTCAGGCTCGGTCTGCAGCATCTTCTGGGAGTGGGAGCAGGTAGTTGTTGCATGTTGCTATCTGTTGCTAGCAAACTCCAGGCATGGTTACCCTAAGCTGTTTTGAATTTGCAGTTATGAGTCATATGAGTAATCTCCCATCCCGGCCACTGCACTCCGTTGGCACTGGAACTACTCAGGCATTCTCGCGGCTTTGCTCGTCGCGGGCATTTTTGGCGCTTCGATGGCACCCTTTGGAGCGAAGGCTCCCTATCACACGGCTCAGGCTCCAGCGAACCCAGGGCAGGGCTCGGAAGTCCTTTGTGTGATTAGGGCTGAGTTGTTACCCGTCAAACGAACCTGAGCTGGACATTGCACGAGAGGCTCATGCATCCTTTGGATATCTTTGAATCGCTCGATCTTTGAGGCGCTTGTGGCAGAATTGGTCTTCACCTTCCTGTTGTCCTACGTTGTCTTGTGTGTGGCTGTCTCCGACCTCACAAAGGCAAGCTAGCACGACAGAATATTGATATCACTGTGATATCACTCTCTTGCAGATACACCACCTCAGTGGTCAGTGGTTGTTTTTGCCCGCCTGCTTTTTTCCTTGGCAGGCATCGCACTTCTTCGGATTGGCCATTGGCTTTTGCGTTGTGGTCGGCGGCTTTGCCATCGGCAACGTTTCGGGGGGATCTTTGAATCCAGCAGTTGCTTGGAGCTAAAAGCAATGGGAAAGCAGGTCGCCTGCTCAATGATGAGAATGACTTGTGGGGTTAAGATAGGTTAAGTTGAGTGGTTCATTTTCCACTAGTAGCTTGAAAAGATGCAAGAATTGTTCAGTCAGAGACCCTGGATGGACCCCTTTGTTGGCTGCCCACAGCCTACCCGTTTCGGCCTTTGCTTCAATACTTTTGAACATGTGGGGTCGCGTTCAGGTCAGTGTAGGATTGGGTGTCTCTGGGAGCAGCTTCGTGAATTCCATCGCCTATGTTTTGGTTGAGCTTTTTGCTGGAGTATTAGCGGCAACTGCCTTTAGTGTGACTCACCAGGCAGGAGACAGCCTGTGACTGCGAAAGCGGGGGTCCTTTTGACAGTAGCATTTTTAGCTTCGTCCTATTCCATTTTGCACAAGAGCTCTTTGTCTCACGGCAATGAACTCTCCATTTTTTTTTCCCTGCTCAAGCTCTAGATAGCTTTAGTGTGTTCATCTTCCACCCCACAAGACCTTTGATGCCGCTGATGCATCCTTTTTCTCAGTCTCCCTGGTGTGCGCTGCTCCCCATGTCGTTTCCTGTTTTCTGTTCATGAAATCTGCGTGAACATCTGTGGCAGGCCGAGCTGGAGTCACCAGAGGCCAAAAAAATGACTGAGGCCTAGGCATTAGGCGACAGCGGCGACGGCGATGGCATTAGGCGATGGCAATATGTTCAAAGGATAGTTAGAGTCCCTTGGACTTTGTGCCACAATCGCGGCTATATCGAAGCATAGATTATTGCCCTTATCCGGATGTTGGCCTTGGGCCTTGAAAAGGAATAAAAAAAGTGCTGCGCCACCTGCATTGTTTTGGCTATTCTGGCTGTGTTGGGAGCTGCGCTGAAGTCGATTGAAGTTGATTGCTCTGGAGCCTGAAATGCTCTGTGCCAAAGGTGATGGTATCACTGGACTCTTAGGTCGTGGCTTGGAGCGGGAAGACCCAGTGAGATGGTCGGAGGGGGTTGGTTGATGTTGGTTGCAGCTTTTCAGCTTTTTGCAGAATGACTTGTTTTGGCGTGAGAGATAGGCCAGATATGGGAGAGATTTGCTGATGGAAGCAATGGAAGCAATGCTGTTGTATTCTCATGATTTGACACAGTCAAACGAAGGCCTAATTGCCAGGTTTTGCAGCATCTCTACAGTAGGCATGTTTGATATTTGTGATGCGATTTATGTTCAGTTTCTGTGGCTTTTTGTTCAAAACTGTTTAGTTTCTGGTTTGCTGCACAAACGTACCATGATGAGGACACGGCTGTTGGTGAACGTGCTTCAAGGCTTCCTGGCTGCTGCAGTCTCCGTTAATTTGTAGGACAGGCTTAGTGCCACTTAGTCCCCCCTGTGGTCGGTCTTGTTCAGAGCAGTTTCACTGCAACGTTTGCGTGGCATTGATCCGTATTGATCCCAAGCTGAGCCAGATTGCAAAGACTGGACATTATCACAACTTTCATGGTGGGGGTTGAGTGGTTTGTCGCTTGACTCAAGACAGTTTTGCAAGGCACCTTCTTCACGATCATTTGGAAATCTGTGGAAGCAAAGTTGAACGAAGGCTGCAGGGCATGTGAATAGCTTTGGCTGTTGAATTTGAAGGAAATTGGTGGAGGGCTTGGAACTTGTTGCATTACATGAGAATCATGAGAAATGTCTGGAAATGAAGTTGAACAACTTTTTCTTCCAACGAAAGTCGATGTTTTAAGTTTTTGAATTGCCGGGCCTTGTTCAGGTTGAGGGACAAACTCGACGAACTCGTTTAGGACGAAGGTCAAAGCACCTGCGCTTCGGAGCCATGTGCTTCGGATCCATGGAGAGGGCTTGGATAGGGCACTGTAGACGTCCAGTGCGAGTGGTCTCTGGGACTCCGAGTCTCTCGTTAACGGAGAGCAGATTCCGACAAACTTCACAAATGGACGTGTCTACTTAGTCTTACAACTTGAAACCTTGGATGCAACGAGATGCAACTAGGAACATCTTAAATCATCTGAAATGTTCATGAATGTCAGCAAGCAGTTTGTAGAGCCAAGGGAACACCCTAATTCACGGAATCAGAAGCATCTTGGATTTTGACGGAATCTGCGAACTTAGCTGGACAGCAATTTTCAATGCGCGAGTCATATTATTGCCTCTGCTTGCATTTTAATCTGACCTAGTTGAGTGGGCAGTTGCCCAGGCTATCGTAAACAGCAGTGAAAAAACGGACATGTCACGGGTTAGTTGTCTTTTGGTAGTCTGGTGCGTCGGCTTTCTTTTCCAAAACGACACCTGCATACATGCACTCAGCGCCTGTCGTTGGCTCAAGAGCTATTGAATTGAAGCTATTTTCCAGTTCACGAAGCCAAGAGACACTGAACACCACATCAAGTTTCCACTGCTTAAAGTTTCCTGAAGGTCACACTATCATAAAGCAACAGAACCAACATCAAAATTCCTGTGAGGCCAGGCAAATGCATTCAAACAGCTTCTCAGTCCTGCTGTCACCACACCTCGAGACGCTTGCGCTTTCTGTCGTGATGCCCCGCCCGGCCCCGAAGGTCGGCCCGAATTTCTCAAAACCACCAGACATTTGACATTTCGGCTGCAAGGCTCTCATTTGAAGCGACTTACAGTATCTTGTAGTGACTTACAATACATGAGTGTAATTGCAGTGCTGTGCAACCTCTCACTTTTTTGGTGGCCAATCTCTCAATCCTGTGGAGAAATCATGAGAAATTCCTGTGCAGGTTGTCCACCTTTTTGGTTGCATTGGCACCTGGGCCGCAGCTTTTGCCTTGACCCGGCCGCACATTGGCCGCATTTGGGGGTCGTTTGGGGAGCAGAACAGTTTATGCCAAATTGCCAAACAAAGCTGCGACCTGCAGAGGTTTTCGACAGAGGACTATGAGGCAATGCGTGAAGATCTGCCGCGGACCCGGGCTTTCTACAAGGCCAACGTTTCATGCTATGTCTTGATCGCCAGCATCTCCAAATTGATGAAGTCCATCTCCACTTGGCCACCTTGCAATACGTTGTGTTCCAATATGTTGCAAAATATGTTGCACGTGTTCTGCACGTGTTCGGCGCATGTGTTTGGCTATGGAAGGCCATAGACGCACTGGCGCCAGATTCGATTGTTTTGGATCTGGGCACTGGCGCCTTAGCCCTGCTGGCTCATCGGGCAGCTGCCACCGGTGCTCGACACGTCTACGCAGCCGGGGCATCCAGTAGTGCACAACACAAGATCAACAGATCTAAACATCTTTCAACGACACAATATCAACAGATATCAGATTCAGGAACTCCAGGCAGTCCTCACTCCTATAGATGTCTTGTAGATGCCTTGTAGACTTAGTGGAAGGGATATGGAAGCACACAGAACAGCGACACATTGTCTTTGGCAAATTGATTCTGTTCCATTTTTCCTGGATACCCCAAACACTCCAAGCCTTGTTCAGGCTCATTTGTTTTGGGCAGTCTCGTGCAGCAAGAATGATGTTGCGCGATGTTGCGTAGCGCCTTCGTTTCCAGTTTTTGGAATGGGTTCGAATGTCTCTGCACATCCTGGTATAAGCTAGATGACTAGAAAAGACTAGTATAGACTCTTCCAAATACACGAAAATCTTGCACTGGGTCAACAATTCTAGACATGCCTTAAGACATAGCATGTAATGCAATGCAATGTCAATGCAATGTGCAATGCAATGTGCAATGCAATGTGCAATGCAATGTGCAATGTGCAATGTGCAATGCAATGCAATGTAATGTAATGTCAGGCAACGTATGTATGTATGTATATGTATGTAATGCATGTAATGTAATGTAATGTAATGCAATGGAATGGAATGGTATGGTATGGTATGGTATGGCATGGTATGGCACACACATATATATATATATAATAATATATATATATATATATATTAGATTGTTGAATGATTTCGCTGAATATGTGTAGCTCCTCAACATCCAGAGTTCTTGGCTGCAGGTTGAAGTTTCCAAGTTTGCTGCAGAAAAGGCCCAAGCTGGGCTCCGTGACAACGACGCTATCTCTGTCATACATGGCCAATCTCAGGCTCAAACGGGCTGTCTCTAGCGTACTGCAGACGAGACCCTTCCCTACATAAATCAAGTTTGCCGGTTGGGTTCACAGATTGAAATCATACTCAACTCTTCTGAAACTACTTAGGAAGACTTAGCAGCTCAGGAGGTCAAGATCAGATCCCACTTCAAAATGAAGCTGTGGCGTGTATTTGGATTCTCTGGTGGCCATGAAAGCGGTGCAGCGGTGCAGGAGATCGAACTGCCGGAGAAGGTGGACGTGATAGTTCACGAGATCCTGGGAGAGATTGCTAGCCGGGAAGGTGCATCGAGTGCCGGAAATTGTAGCCTGTAGCAGCCGTAGCAGATGCCTGCAACCGCCTGCAACCGGCCATCCAATTTGCCATCGAAACCTGACATCACACTTTGATGCCAGACACGCCTAGCTCTGATTACACTGTGGAACCATGTTAAGCCATGTTCTTGACTCATGTTAAACCACGTTAAACCACTCTATTGAGCATATTTGAACATTTTGAAAATGTTAAAGTTGTAGAAGTTGACATGGGAGGATTGTTTCCATTGCTCTTCTGGCGAGGCGTTGTGGCTTCTCTTCGGGATGCTGAGCGCTTCCTGTCTGCCGCAGCACGGAAGCGCAGCTGGTCTGTCCCAAGCCGTGCTCGAACCTTCCTGGCGCCAGCAGAAATGCCAAATCCAAGGCGTGGAATGTGTGGATTCTAAGTTCAGATATACTCAGATGTACTCAGATGTATGGATTCCAAACGAATCAATGTATTTCTATGTATTATTTCTATGTATTTTTGATGACTGTGACTTGACTATATACCACGTTACATCAAGACAATCATGCTGTACAGTACTTCCGATTTGCAACTGATAGCAAGGTCACAATTAATTGAAGAAGGACTCAGCAAGTGAAGGATATTGTGTACAAAATGTTTGCAACGGAAAGTTCGCAGAAATGATGAGAGATGATAAAATGATATGTAAGGTGAATTAAGGTGACATGGATTGCTGAATTGCCCTGAATTGCCAGTTGTGTTTGCATGTCATTGCGGGTCTATGTTATGACATTTGTGGATGTTCTGCGAACTAGTCAGCGCTTAGAGGTACTTCGAGGCTTTCAAAGCTCGCACGGGCACCTTGTTGGCTATGCCAGGCCCAGGAACTCGCATGCTGCGATTTCCAAACCTTCCTGTGCCTTGAAAGTTGGAAAGTTGGAAAGTTGGAAAGTTGAGCTGAGATTCGACCTAGAGCTCGCTTTTGACACTGATTCTGAGCACTTCTGAGCTACAGTACTTGAAGTACTCAAGAGATGCTGTGGAAAGGCAAATGGATACATTAGATACATGGTTGTTTTCTTGTGATCCAACATCTGTGTGTTCAAACTGCAGGTTCAGCTTTCGTGTTTTATATCTCTGATTCTCTGGGACTCAGGTATCAGATTGCATTTTGGCAGAGCCCGAGATCTTTGAAGATCTGCATTGGGGTGAGGGTGAGGACTGCCAACCCCATGCTTTCTGAAACCGATTCTAAACCAATATAAAACCAAGGCAGGATACTCCAGGAGACGATCTCACAGCAGCTACTGGTGGCCTTCCATGACGCTCCTATTTTTCTGATGCCACGCTCCATGTGTGTCATGCACCCTTTGTATCCCTTTGTGTGATAGCTCATTGGCGTCAAGAGTCACCACTGTGAACTCAGCAAAGTCAGGATAAAATGAAGCTGCACCAGAAGCGCGTGATGCGATTCCGCGTGATGCGAGAAGGCTCAATCATAGAATCAGAGATGAAGTAATCGAAGTATGCTGTACTACTCTGTACTGAGCCCTTACTGAGCTTTCTCTTGACTCTTCCCCGAGTCTGGCCGGACGAGCTTCGTTTTGTCATATTTGTCACGGCCTTTTGCATCCTAAAATGCTTGGAGTCTTGGAGGCATTTTATCTGGCTTCGTCTTCTTTATCACAGTGCACTTTCCGACTGAGACGATCCCAGTGAGCTCCGCAGATGAAGAAAGCCATTGGGCAAACAGCTTTTGCATGGTCTCCTGGTTGGATCAGGATGGGAAGGAAGTGAACAGAGGTGTTTTGTATGGAGTAGAATGGTCAACCACAGCAGACTTGGAAGGACACTGAAGGAAACCTACAAAAGACAGACCAAGCACAAAGTGCAAACCTGGAGGGTACCCTGCTTTGTTTCAAGTTTTCTTGGAAGCGTGTGGCACTGCTTCCTGAAGGTGGATTGCCCGACGGCCGTAGAACCTGGAGATAGCCTAGAAGTTGAGAGCGAGGCGCCAACATATCCATTTGGTGTAAGGGTTTGAATGGGTTTGAGTCAGGTCAGTCAATTTTGAAATGCCAAAGTGAGTGCTCTTATGTTCCTGCCAAGGCAGTTGATGCACGTTGCACATCAAGATAATAGTCTAGGTCTAGGAGTATATTTTCGAGAGAGCCGCAGCGTGTAGCTGACAAATGTGGAGAGTTCTGATTGTAGGTGATTGAGAAACGTGACAGGTGGACCTTAGAACTGATTTGCCGACCTATGCCCTGGAAGCAAAGCTCCTGAGGCCCACAGGCAAGGCCAAGTCGGTTTCATCCATGTTTCAAGACATTTGTCAAAGGTCAGACTACAGCATTCCAGCTCACTACCCACTAGATTCAATTCAATGCAACTACAAAGTAAAGTTAGTTTGGAACCGATTAAGGGCCAGTTGTCTCATTGGCACACCTCATACTCCTTGCTGGGGCTAAGATGTTGGGAACGGTGAGTTCCAACTTCCAGCATCTTCCATGCTGCTACATGCTGGCTATTGCTGTCTTGCCACAGATATTTCAGATATGTGTCCTAGTCCTGGAGTCCTAGCAGTGCAGGTGCCGAAGTCTTGGTGCCACATTACGTCTTCCATTGATGGCAGATATGGCAAACTTGATGACCCGACAGATCCGAAAGAGCGCTAGAGTCCGCTGGCTGAACTTGATGACTCCGCATATCCCGAGGGGAGTCTTGGAGGGTGCCACAATGCAAATCTGCAGTCTCGCTGCAACGGAACAGGAACAGCTGCAGCAATTTGGAGCAACTATCTTGAGGGTACCAGACCACTCCAAGGTATCTTTGTGGCAGAAGGGCCCAGGAGCAGAGGTGCATTTCGAACTGCATGTGCCGAAGTCAGCAGGGAATGAAGCTGCGGGACAAAGGTGACATGCTGCTGAGAACTAATAGCTCCTGACGAGGATTGTGTCTTTTCAAACTCGTTGGCGCACGTCATGCACAGGAGGTGGTTGCAGACAACATTCCCACACACCCATACAGCCCATACATGTCACGATGGCAAATCGATGTCTATGCCTGCGCATTCTGAGTGGGATGCGGCTGACACTTGTTGTGGGATTTGACTCAAGTCTGAGAAGGGGTCCTCGCGACATCCTTCCAGTGTGCTTCTGATACCCTGGGAAAGGACAATCTAGAAGCTCTTCCAGATGAAGATGGTGAAGGAGATGACTATGACAGAGATTGGGACTTTGACGGTGACTACCCTGGAAGCGAAGTGTTCGAGCTAAAAGGCACTGAGGAACTGGCCATGGATTATGATGTCTTTGGCAAATTTGTCAAGAGTGCTCAGATGGAAAAAGGCCGGTGTTCCTGGAGCAAAAAACTGAGGGCTCACGTCCGAGGATTGCCTTTACTTGGCAGCAGATGGGAAGCCGACATGGTGGTTTTGAGACGCGTCAGGCGGGGAATGCTTCTACGCTCAGTCTGATTCCCACATCCCCCCATGGAAAGGTTGGTGAAAAGAATACTCAGAAGACGAGTTGGAAGTTGTCTTGGAAGCATGCAAGGGCATTGGTAGAGAGAAGGACTCTCAAGCTCGCTCTTGGAGTTCTGGAGGAGCATGGCAGAGATCCGCTTGGATCAGAGGGAACAGCACGAATGGCCACTGCTGCTTGACACCATGCGAAGAAGAGGCAAAAAGAGTCGAGCAACGTGGTAACAAACAAAGTTTAACATTTAGGGAAGTTCAAGAGCAGCAAATTGCAACGGAAGTCAAGGCGTGTCGTTTAGTAACATTTAGTAACTATGGGCCCTGGTAGAGGTTTCTCATTAGGTTTGTTGATGAGGGGAGTACCACTGAGCAACACAAGAACTCTGTGCTCTTGAGTGAAGCCCTGCACTGCTGTGACGAAGAGAAGGGATCTTGGAACCAAACTCCATTAGGGCAGTCGATTTTTCCTGCAAGGGTGGTGTTGAACGGTGTTGATGACACTTGGAAGATCTCCATATGGCGGCTATGGTGGCACAGAGTCAATTCACTTCAAATTCCTCGAAGTACTCACGTAGTCGGGGAAACGCTTCAGCTGCAACGAAAGATTTGCTGCGTTGTGCCGCGTTTTGGCTCAAGATGGGTGCTTTTCCGAAAGCGGCCCTTTGGGCTCAGGCGAGTCTACACAGTCGAGAATATGCCATGCATCAAAGTCCAAATTGCCGTGGGAGGCATAGCATATCATAAAACATCACAACAATTCACAACATATCACACCATACCATCACAACCTGATGTCTTTCAAAGCGGTTCCATTTTCGTGCATCCAATAAACAATTTTGCCGGAAGTTCAAATTAGAGCCTCCAGACTGAAGTACCAAAGTCGAATCAAAGCCTTTCTTGACCACAGGCCAGATGAGCGCAGGGATCTCAGACATCAGCACAGATATCCGCAATTGCAGTTACAAAGTTACAAAGTTTGTGCATTTTGTGGTGCGATGTGCGAAGGACTTTGAAGTTTCTTGGTTCCATTGGTGGTCTGCCTGGTGATGTCTGCAGGTTGCGGGTGGAGTGGACTCCTCGCTCTACCCCGTGGCCGTCCTAATTGATGAGCTTAGGTTCGGACCTCAGCAAACCAGGACAGACAATGAGACAATGGCCTCCACCAAAGTCCACACAAGAACAATACCAATAATACCAAGTCTCAAACTGTCTCGAACAAGCAACATATCTTGATGAAATCTGACAATAGTGCTGGATTGACCTGTGAAGATTCTCAAGTGATTACTGGTTATTCCCCAAAGAAAAGATAAGAAAAGCAATCAATCAGTAAGGATACTGCGAAGTTCCAAGTTAAGCAGTTCAGCCGAGTTCAGCCGAGTTCAGCCGAGTTCAGCCGAGTTCAGCATCTTTGTAGATTTTGTCGATTTTGTTCTTGTGGAGATCTTTGCATCTGTGGCTCCCAGGCACGATGACCTGCAGCTGCGGGTAAATGCCGTGAAGCAGCTCGGGACTATTGCCACAGCGCTTGGCCCAGAAAGGCCAGCGATCATTCTGACACTCTGACTATGGCAAAAAACGCTGCTGGGCGAATCCGGGCGACAGATTTTTATGGAATGTCGGAATGACACTGAAATTTGGAACATGATCACTTTGGCGGACTCGAAACATGAGATCTCACATGCCTTAAGTGCTGAAAGCCATCGTGCAGCGCATGCGATTCTGATGCCAGGACCCGAGAAGAGCTCTTGCCCTTCCTCCAGGCACATGAAGTCAAACACTGCAAAGTCAGCAAATGCGCTAAGATTGTGAAGACATTTAAACGACATGTATGACATATATTGGATTTCCTTAGATTTTAATGATTTTTGCTAGTACTGTATCGTTTGGTGTCGAAGTCAATCTGGTGCAAAGCGCAATTTCATGGCCAATACCCATTGGACAGGAGATCATCGATGATGAAGATGATGCCACTTGTCCAAAAGATCCAAAAGGGATGGACCATGATAGACCTAAAGTGTAGAGATTGAATTAACGTGTTTGAGACGCAATATAGACGCAATATAGAAGAACATGACATGAGGCACGCTGGCTGATCGTGTTCTGAGGATTCTAGACATTTCCAGACTTCTCACCAATTTCTGCAGCAAATCATATGCCCGAGCAGCAAGCAGAAACTATCATGTGCAATTCACCTTCTTGTCGACTAGCCGACTCAAATTCTTTGAGTCCAGTACTGTAATTGTTGTCAAATGTTGTCACATCATTATCAGATCCATTGCACTTGGGAGTGATTCAGTCAGCATTTTCCGACGCGATTCTTGCTGAAGATGGGTTAAGCTAGACCTGCTGAGATTTCCAAGGTCCTTGTGGCGATGGCTGAGCAACTCGGGTGCGCAGAGGGGAAGTGAGTCAGTCGAGACGTGAAGGATTGACTTTGCCAATAGATTCAATAGATGCCAATGGTATTTCAATATTTTCGAATATATAATATACCGTTAAAATCAAAGTTAGAATGCGGTTTTGGCTTCGCGTGATGGTGGCCCGTTTGGCCCCCCCCCACGGCGGGCGCATTCTAACTGAAGAAACACCTGTAAATATGCAGAAGCACAGTTAGAATGCGGCGCACAAATTGGTGAGAAAATGTAAGTTTTGACTGGTATTGCATGATTCTCCTGGTCTCAGGGTATCTTGAGGGATCAATGGACGCATATCAGCTTCAGTGTGGAAACCAGTGTGTTGGGTACACCGAATAATGAATGAAAGCACAGCACTACAGCTTGGAAGTAGCGAAGCAGCTAGACACAGAATAGAGGCTCCTGGCATCTCCTGGCTGCAAATCACAGACTGTCCGGAAATTTCTGTAGATTGGATCGGTGTGTCGGACGCAGTGATTTCCGTTAACGGCTCCTTCAGCCAGGAGAGGTGTAGATCTCGTGGGTGGAGTTGCGTACTGCCATGCTTTGCTGGGCCCTTTAGAGGAGCACTGCCCATGTGGAATCCGCGTCGAAGGTTGTTTCAGCCTTGTGCACTCCAAATGTTACAATGCTTTGTTTGAATGGCTGCCCGGCTGCCCGAAAAACTCGAGGAGCTGTGCAATGTAGAGGAGATCACTGTCCGAGAAAAGGCCTTAGAGGCCAGAACCAGGGAACTTCTCCAGAATAAACAAGCTATGCTCCAAGCTATCCAAAAGTTGCAAGATTCAATAGACATCAATAGACAGATGACAAACTTATGCAACATTGATTCAAGACATTTCAAGACCATTTTTTATCATTGTCTATCCATATCCGTCATATCCGCCATATGCTGAATCTGCCAAGTGAAGTTGGATGAGCCCTTGGACCGCCCGTCAGGCGCTCCGGTCCATCGCCGGCCACATGTCCTCGGAACAGGTAAGGCCGCTGTGCCAAGCCTCTCTAGCTCTCAAAGGGCCATCCTTGAGAGGAATACCTGGGAAGGAGGGAAGCGGCTTGTTCAAGATAGGATGTAAACTTGTAACTTCATGTAACTTGATGTAACTTCATGTAACCTATGTTTGCGGGTCTAAAGGCCCCGCGTATAGAGATGTATAGAGGATAGAATAATATTCTGTCACAATTGGACCAAATATAGGCTGAAGAAAGAACAAATGAAACGGGTTTGCCCATGGTCACTTAACCTTGATTTCTTGAACTGCTCGAAGCTGCACGTTGCAGTCAAAAGACAAGAAAGTGTCAGCAGAATAAGAGTCCATAGATGCTATCTTTTTTTGCAATTCTCACTGACCTGGAACCATTAGAATCATTAGAGAAGGAGTAAAGCAGGCAGCAGAATCTATAGAGCTGAGCAGTTCATTACGTTTCATGCTTTCAACTTTCAACTTTGGTTTCAATGATGTTAGATATTCAGCTAAAGGAGACTGAGTCAGCATTTCCAGCCTTGGATGGCTCTGGCCGCAAGTCTTTGTTAAATCTCGATGGTTTGCGAATCATGTCAAGCTTGCTGAAATCACCGGAATTTAACGCTTCGCAAGTGGTGCAAGCGAACGCCATGTACGGCAGCTTCCGCCGCATTTGCAGCTCTGGTGCTCTTGGTGTCGCGGCAGGCAGGGTGTCGCACGAAGAATTTCGAAGGGCTTCAGGACAAACTGGGTTCTTTTTTCTTTTGGCAAGGAGTCCCTATACATCTACGTATACTAAGTCACTAAGTCCTCTAAAAATCTTTTGCTCTGGCTTCGGACTTTGAGTTCTGTACCAGAAACGCTGCTACATGCATTCTGTGTTGCTGTAGCCAAGTCATCAACGTCTTAAAGTTCACGGTTTGCGTATTATCCGAAGATTAGGCTCTCACTGCAGAACTCGATTTGATTCAAGATGATTTGCTCTTCTTGAGACCAGTTTTTTTTCCCACATGTTTTCACCGCTTCCGATCCTGACGCCTGCCACTTCGAGCATTGCTGTCCCACGAGTGGTTGGAGGTGTCCTAGCACTCCGTGCTCGCCGCGTTACCTTTGCTATGCCAGAGCCAGCAGCACGCTTTGGAGTCGTCGCAGATGTGCAGTGGCTTGGCGTGTAGACCAGTGTAGACTTGTGAAACTTAAAAGATTGCTGACAGGTTCTACAGACTTATATATATAGAGTAACATAGAGTAACTATATTGTATTTATTTTGGCACACACACACACACTATATATATATATATTATAAGATTATATATTCCTGAGATTGATAATTAATTTTGAGATGTGCAGCATCTCCGGAGGTATGCTGATGTTGATGATGCTCTGGGCTTAGTTGTTGGCTCTTGCAGCCCTTTCTTTGGAACTTAATCAATTCCAAAGATACTTCCATGGATTCATGATTCATTAAACCCCTAAAGCATCCTAACGCATTTGTTTTACTGAGGAGCTTGTAATTCATGTTTTCTTTCTCTTGTTTGTTTGAAGATTTCAAGATACTCTTCAAATGGACTTGTCCTTTCTTTTTCGTACATTCCAACCACAAGCTGTTTCCACAGCTGGGTTAGAGCCCATGGCATTGCTCTGTAACGATCTGTAACGGGCATTGAGCACCAAGACCAGGGCTGGAACTTCCGACACACGCAGAAGCGGCGCTACCGTGGTGCTCTGGACGCCTTGAAGATGGCAGTGGAGGAGTCGACACACACTTCCTTGAGTCAGGATGAGTCAGGTCTGAGAATGTCGCAGGAATCTCTTGAATTGCATTTCATTGAGAGGAACTTTGATTTGGCATGATCTTGGTCAGTGAAGGACTGGAAGAAAGGACCTCCACTTGTGTTCATTGCTGACCTTGGGGCAACTTGGCAAAGTTTGACCTGGATGTCCTAAGGGGATGCACTATACTTAACACTATACACATCTATAAATACACTTTATCAGAACTTTATCACATGAGCCTTTTGATCATGTTGCTTAAGCTTCATTTTCTATACTTCCGTCGCCTCCAGCTTGAATTTGCACCAAGGACATCATAGATCAGACGCTGAGACTGCAGTGAGAACTCGTTGTCCCCACTGTATACAGCAGATACGAAGAACAAGTGCCGGGCAGCATGCGGATGTGAACATTTTCCTGCGTCTTTCGACCTTTGTGTTGTTAAGGGTTCATCCAAGGCAGTGTGAGACTAACAATGACTCCGAAAGAGCACTTCAATTGGTTGCTTGGCAAGCAGTGCAAGAGAGGCACTGGTAGATCATGTTTGTTTTCTGCTTGGTTCTCTCTTGAAAGAATAACAGTAATCATTCTGCAAGACAACAACATCATGTGAGAACTTATGAGAACGCGTTGTTTTGCTTTGCCCAAGAAAAGCCTTGCCTGTTTTCTTCAGCTGTCTTATCCTTTTCGAATCCACTGGAAGCAAATCAAGACATCAACGGTGCAGTTTGGAGCTAAGGTCCTAGATGCTTGGAAGGATGCGCCTGCAGAAGTCTTCCATCTCATGGGGAACCACGAACTGTACAACTTCAACCGGCCGGGTTGGGGCTGGAAACATCCGGAAACCAAAGGACAAGATTTCATAGCAGTCATAGCAAACTCCCAAAGCTGCATTCCTGAGAGCACTCGAGTAAACCACAGCTCCACTCAGCTCCACATCAAAAAAGCAGAAATGTGCGCCAACGCACAGATCTTCTTATCTCTTCTTATCTCTTCTTGCTTTCTAGATCTTTCTAGTGCGCCAACGCCTTTCTCAGATTTCTCAGTTCTCACTGTTTCATACTGTTTCTGTCCTGGAGGGAAGAAGCGAAAACGCTCATTCCCAATATTTGCTCCTTGGCTGATCTGGCTGAGATTGAAGAGACATGAATTGGCAAAATAGCTAAACGTGCTCGAAGTATGCCACATCATCCACTTGGAACTTGACACAGCTTGATTACAAGAGGTGCCAAGCTGATCCAAACTGAATGTCTTGAGATTCCCTGCGGGTCAACATGCACGGGTCGTATGGGCCCAGATGCCCAACCCTTGCTGACCCTTTTGGATTGCCCAGTTCCTTGGTATCGAAACCTACGCCTCGTGCCTGGCTGGCGCTTCATAATATTGGAAGCTCGGTCGATGATGACTTTTGTATACTTTTGTATGTTGCACAAATTTCACAAGATGTGACATACACACGATGCTGCCATTGCCTGCCCTCCTACACCAGAAGTATGCACTGCGTCTAGGGTCCGGCACAGGCTTGCAAATGGTCCACGGTCTGCATCTGTGATAGACAGACACCTTACCTGGCTTGCAATTGCTTTGCAACCCATGTTCTTAGGATTCCTACGAGCTGAACGTCATAGAGAAAGGTGGTGGGTCCTCTGTGGAGGAGGCAACAGCACACCCATTCTGTCATTCTTTCCAAACATGTCGATTATTTGTTGGGCGTTCATGGTCGACTCCTTGTCCTCCTTGATGCGCACAAATTTGATCAAACATGTACAGATATTTGGTGACATGCACCTTGCCAAGGATCCAGGCGGACCTGTTACTGCTGTTGCATAGCCGGCATAGCCCATGTTCTGATTGTATGGACAGCTGGCAGGGCATCGCTTACTTCAAGCAACACAACCCCAACGATCTGCAAGCCCCACGAGGGACAATCGACATGGGTGTGGCTAGGTTGAAATGGACTCTCCACGTCAACATCAGTAGGGAAACTCCTTGCCTTCTTGCGCAAGCTTGGTGATCTTAATCCTTCAAAATGTTTAACCCCGGTGTTTGCTCAGATTTTCGAGAGCTGATAATGAGAATCTGCCGCGACCAAGGCAGGCCTTTCTGGTTTACAGAAACGGTTTGTACCCATGGGTGGTGGCATGAAGTCGCAGCAGTTGGCATGGCTGCGCCAGGTCTCAATCTGAGTTTGGGCCGTGCTGATGTCACATCTAAAGAGAAGATTGTTGGCGACCACATTCTGTGCCTGGCAGTTTGACTAGCTGACTAGCATAGGAATGACACTCTATATATTTGTGCGTTCGTGGCAGCAAAGCCCAGCTTGGGAAATTCTCGCGTAATCTCAATCCAGGTGGATTAAAAATGATTAATCGGTAAAGAATGAGTCACAGAACCTGGTCAGCCCATGTCTGAGAACCGGTTCTGTTCTAACATGTTCAAGCTAGTTCAAGCCAAATCGCAGAACTTCAATCAACTTGCAGTATCTTGTAGTCACTTGTGCAGTCACTTGTGCAGTCGCTTGTGCTTGATTCAGGAGTTGGAAGATGTAGCTGCGGCTGGCGAGCGAGCTATTGTGCCTTTGTCCATTTGCCCGTGCAACAACCCAAGAAGGATCAAACAAGTTAAAGATGTGCCTTTTGATCCTTTTGATCCTTTGGCTTTGTGCCAAAAGTCCCCAGTTCCATAATTGGCTGTCAAACACATTTGGCATCATTTGGCATAATGACTCCATATATGTTTCAGGTGTTGACGCATTTACCATGCGCGCCACAAGCAACCGTGCCACCAGCATTGTTGCTTAGACGCAATAGCACAGGCTGGCTTGTCATGTCCATCTAAACCTCAGCAGACAAGCATAGCATTGTAAAGTCATAGAATTGGAGAATAGGCACAAGATTGTACGAACGCCGAAGAGAATAGGTTGAGAAAGCAAGAAATGCGCAAGTATCCTTGTCTAGATCAAGAAGATGTTCCAGGAAGCTCCAGCAAAATTGAAAGTGGATGATCGATGAGGCTTTGGAACTACGATGAACTGCTGGCCGTTTTGCGAGAATTTGCAGGGCTGGTGCCCTTGGTCTTAGCAGGCAGTCCAAGCAGACGGATCATTGCTGAGGGACAAACGATATCAGACAATCAAACGATTCACTTGTATACTGTCGCAACTCTTTGTAAACATATTTGTAATTTGTACAAACTGCATACCTATACGTATATATATATATTATACATGGATACTCTCAAATAGTTTTGCGGTTGCAGAGTGTAGTGAAGAAGCGGGGTGTGCCTTGCACCGTGCGCTGTGGCCATACTGCACTGACACAGTGATAGGCCACTACCACGATGGCGGCTATGCCTTCGACACTGAAAGCCTGACACATCACGCAACTCGGGCTCCAACAAAATTTGAACGTGTTTGAACATGTTTTGAATATGTTTAAACGAAGATGTCGAACATGCTTGAGTGAAGGTTTTGTTGTGGTTGTGCTGTGTATCGGTGTATCAGCTCTTGAAGGTCTTCAAAGTCAGGACTCGTCATGCGAGTAATTGTCCTGAAAACTACATCTATTCGCTTTAGCACTTTGATTCACAAACGTGCAGGCTTCAGTATTCAAAGATGTTCAAAGATCTTCACAGATATTCAAGGTATCTATAATTACCACTTTGTTTGCATATGTTTTTGCGACGGATGGATAAGCCTCAAGTTTCCAGGTGCTGGTCATTTTCTTGTTACTACCTACAAGCCACAAGTGTCCTCGCTTCTGGCCCTCAGCTGTTTCAGCCACATACGGTTTGCTTGATGGTCATTGCATGTCATTGCAATCTGAATCATCCATACTCATCCCCTAGAGGGTGTTCGAAGACTTCACATCACTGAGGCAACTCTGTTGGAGTTAAATTGATGCACAGAATTCACAGAATATGAAAGAACTAGCAATCAGACGTAGATGGTGTAACGGTGAAAGCATGTTAAAGCTGAATCCATTCGTATTTTGGGCTTTTGGGTCGGATTTGTTCGGCTTCTTTTGTCTCCACTCCTGTCACGTTCCGATCTGGCGATCCGACTCTGGAGTGACACGATGGATCTCAGTACGGGCTTGGTCTATGGCCAACTGGGCCTGGTGTTTGCTTCTTCGCAGCATAACATGTGTTGCTCTGCCGGCTACAGTATGTCTTTGATCTTTGGATTTTCAAGCATAGACGCATGATTAGGCTTCAGGCCATTTGCTTACCAGGCGTACCACAATATATCAAATGGATACGATTGTGCTGTATTTGCTTGACATTTGCCCTATTTGGGGTGAGAGAGTGAGGGACGAGCTTTTTCAGCGATTAGAACAACGATGTTCCAGCACGAGTGCCGAGCGAATTCTGAGAGGCAAAGCAGCACCAAGGTCATGGCAGTTGCCACCGCCAGCTGGCACTGCTACAGAGAACGAGTGCTTCTTTTGCACTGATGGACCTTGATGGACCTTGATGCACTACGGCAGTCAAGTTGCAACTGGAAGTCGCAAAAAACGGGTCTGATCTTAGTTTTCTTCAGATATTTGTTTGAGCAGGGCTGTTTGTGGACTTGTGGACAGCCAGGGGTAAGGAAGATTTATAGAAGTTATACAAACACTGTATCTAGATGGCAGTGTGCTGAGCAGGTGTGCATTTTCTTCCATAAGCAAGTCAATGGTACACAAACTCGAGCTGGCCGAAGCTTGTCCGGTCTTGTCCAGGTGCTGGCCAGAGTACGGCGCCAATGTACAAAACAGATTGGGGGCTTTGGAAAGGCGCTGATGTTCCACTCTCCCGACAGCGCTCCTTGTTGGCCTTGGAGAGATCTTTTGAACATTTGAATCATTCGACAGAATCATAAGAGCAATGATGACACATCCACCGTATGACACATGCTGGCCCTACAGCCATACGACAGCCACGACAGCCACACGACAGCCATACGACATACGGCTCATGCATGCCACCTTTGCGATCTTCGTAGCCAAGGTGCCCAGGAATTTCGTTCAGTGCCTTGGCCGAACACCGCTCTGACCGCTCTGCTCTGGCGCTCTGTTCTGTTCCAAGGTAGAAGGCAGTAGCCGGTAGCAACCGTCCAGCATTGTTTTGGACTTGGTCAACCCTTATGTTTGCATCTTAAGCGCGTTCTGGCGCCAGTGTGCATGTCTTGCCACAAATCCACAGGTTTGGCTATCGCAGCACCATTTGTGGTACTATTTGCGACTACTCATGGCTGGTTCTGCCCTTGGCGGGCTATTTGGTCATGATTTGGGGCTGCTACATTGCCTATGCTGCTTGGCAGACATCCCTTGGCACCAGTAGACTCAGTGGACTGTGAAGCCATGCTTGCATCCAGGTTTGGCAGCCTTGCGCTCGCTTAGTATTCAGTTATATAAGTTATATAGTCATGTGATGTCATGTGATTCTAGCTCAAAGTGATGTGCGTTTGTCAAGGTTATCTCCGATGGCATTCCTTTTCCACCAGGGGTTGACTATTGGAAGGCGAGGAAACTGCTTCAATCGCCGCTGTTGTGACAACCAATCGGTGGAAATTGTGGGGAAAAACATGACAAAACTGAGGTTACAGCTTACATACAACCCAAATTGAAAAAGATCCATTGCCAATGGTCAGGAAGGGGTAGCATTGTAGCCAGCATCCGGCTCAAATCAGACACCAACATCAGGCCGCAGAGCTCGTTGATCTCTCGGCCTTTGTGCCACCGGCATTTGTTCAGGAGACCTTCGGTTCGTGGAACGGCCTCATGTTGCCCTGGTGCGTTTGGTTTACCATCGTTCACATCACAGCAGGAGTGGCTTCCAAGTTCTACACGGCAGCTTGGCATCACTTTCCGTTCGTCATTTGAGAGTGGAGAGAATCTCAAGATCTCCAGCGGCAACCAATAAATCCAATAACAAATAACACCCCTCGCATTGAGACAAGGCCATGAGCGCACACTCCATGCTGCCATGTGTCTCCATGGAGGATGCAACACATTTGACACTTGGATTTAATTTATTCTATGTTAATATACTTTCTTCAAGCGTTGTTCAATAATCTGATTTATTGAGATCCTCAAAGTATAGCTGCTGGATTTGTCTTTGCAAATGGTGACTCCAAAAAATCAGGCTGTTTTGGATGCAGTCCATGAGTTGGCGGACAATCTTATTCCGCATCAGAGCTTGTTGTGCTGACCACTGGCCCAAAGCAAGAATAGCTTCAACCCAGTGATTGATGCAATAAGGATCGTAGATGAACAGGTATTCGTGGACCCTGATGATGTTGTCGATCCTGACGAAACACAGGGAGAGGCGAGGCACCAACATGAAGTTGTACAATTTGATCCGCAAAGGTTTGTGCTTTTCACAGGGTCCAGCATTAGTCGTGATACCAACCATATGACACATACGCACGGTTTACAGACACACGCAGATCTTGCTGCATTTGTGTTTGCGCTTGTTCAAACTATCCAAAATTGATATACAGATTGCATCAGATTGCAGGAGCAAAAGATATCAAGAGGATTCAAGAGGCAGTCTGGCTTTCTCATTTAGATCATTTAGTCCTTGTATGCCCTGTATGCCCTGTATGCCCTGTATGCCCTGTATGCCCTTGGATCACCAAGCGAGGACTCCTGGATCACCAAGCGCTTGGCACGGCTTACACAGCGCGTCAAGCGCGCCAAAGCCCGCCAGGTCTGGGAATCCAAGTGGCTCATGAGACCAGGATAGCAAGGTCCGATTCCTAGGGAGCAAACTGTTATGCACAATATTGATAATATTGCACAATGATGTTTGTTACATAAGTTATATATAGTATTATATAGTTATGTAATGTTATATACACATATAATACAATTACCATACTATATACTTGCATTTTCATATCTGCAGTCGATGTATCCGACCGCAGGTGATGAAGATTGAAGAAGATGCAGATGGTACCCGTCATGTTGTGAGGTCCTGAGATTTTTGACGATCCACCACAACGGATTTGTTTCGGTCCAGAATTTGTGGGACTATTGCATTCAACACTTGGTTAAAGATGGTTAAAGTGGGGTTGCATCAATCCGATAGGTCTCAAGAGGACAGCTCACTGTGGTTTTTTTCGCATCGGAATTTAAGATTCGACTGCTGGGCCCGCTGGGCCTTGTGCCGGGCTCAGGAATACACCTGCGTGCGGTACATCTACAATGAGGACCGATCGAACTGGACATTGTCATATCACAAGTCTGTTCCATTCCATTGTGATAAGAATTAATACAGTCAGGGACCTTGAACAAAATGGCGGAAGCAGCAAGTTCTAGACTCTAGAGCAGATTAAAAAAGCCAAGATTCCATGGGCTTGGAAATTTTGAGGCATCTGTAGGCATTTAGAGGCATGACCGAAAAAGGCGAGCACTTTTTACTCATTGAGTATTACTTTTCCGTGGAAGATTGGACATGCACCTTGATATCATCCCTCACTTTGGACCCATTGGGCCCATAGTCATCCCATAGTGCCATGGGTTGATTGGACCTGCTCACCAGGACACCCAATCCTTCGTGCCGATGGGCTTGATCGATCCCGATCCGCAGGAGGGCTGTGGTTGAACACCGTTCCCGAGTTTTCCAATGTTTGCCAACTGTTGAGTATGTTCAGCACTTCAGGTCAGTAGACAATTCAACAGGATTATCATTCTATCTTTCTTTTTTTGATTCAGTTTCTTGAAAGACTGCTTTCGCGCCTAGGAGTTTAGACGCTAAAGTTTGATGAAGCGTGCTCCAAGTGGCAGTAGTTGTGGAATGTTGTGGACACATGATGAATGATGAATGAATGATGACACATGTGGCCTTTTTCCTATGAAACTCCGTGGATCTCCATGGCGTTTCGTGTTACCACCTTGGCGCCCAGGAGGCTCATGCGATCCTCGCCAGGGGTGGTTTGTCAGAGGAGTTAGCAGCAGAGACGCTGGCGGCCTGCGGTGACAACTCCATCCACGTGCACGTCGCAGGCCACGCTGTTGCGATGGTGGTCCTCAGGTCCTCCCTAGAAATGTCGGTTTCCGGGAAGGCAAGATTGTCGCAGCATGTAAGGAACAGATAGTAACAGTCTAATTACTGCACATCATTTCTCTGGTATTTGATCGATCGAACCCTAGCCTGGCATCTGGCATTGATTCTAAAGTTTTGGTAAGTTTTGTGCTCGGTGTTTTCATGTCCTGCAAAGGTATCCTGGAAGCGTTGGGATCAGAATTTTCGGTATCTTGGTGTCGGAAAAGAAAAGTGGAGTCTGGCATCATCGGCATCGAAGGAATCGGTTCCCGGATGATGTTGTTTGACTGATACAGGCATTAGAAAGCATCAAAGACACACCAAACAGTCTCTATGAATCTCTATGATCTGTGAGTGAATTTGAGTGAATGTGACAACAAAATTGATTCCGTCATTCTTCCTGAGGATTTCACCTACATTTTCAACTCTATTGGCACTTGGGCTTACATTGCTTATTCCACCTGGAACATTGGCAGCGTATGGCTCATCATGATGCTGGGTTCTGGAATCTACAGAGTGCCTCAGCTGAACGTTTCTAGATTTTCTTTCGCCAGACTTTGGGAGAGTTTGGCAGATGTCACTCCAGTGGCTCCTATGTTTGCGCAAGGCTCTCTTCATTGTTCGGCCGAATCAAAAGAAAATTGCCGAGATGGCTGCCATGAAGCAGAGCTGTACAGTGTTGAGGGATAACAAGTGGAAGGAGCGAGCTTGGAGACATGGAATGAGTCCAAACTTACGACGAAAGACAGAGGTGACAGCGTAAAGACACGAAACGAGAAAACGGTCAAAGCTCCACACAGTGATTAAGCATTGGATATCATTTGATCAGCAGTTTTGCGCGAAAGCAAGGAACCAGATTTGGTATGCATCGATTTGCAAGGGCAATAAAGTCTATTTGGCAATTCATGTGGATACCCTCTGAAAAGACTCGAGCCCGTTTTTTCTTGACTTGGTCACAAAGATTCAAGTGATATGTGAAAATGGACCTCACTTGGTCAACTCTTTTCTACGGTGGCCGGATCAGGAGATCGACGTGTCGCAGATTGTTTTGGGTGACATTGTACAGGTTCATGACGGATGCTTGGCCGCGCTATGCCGCGCTCATATCGCAAAACCATGCAAAACCCATTTTTGTTTCTCAAGTAATGTCAAGGCTTTATGTCAAATATGGACAGGACGGATAGGAATTGTGGAAGCATATTGCCATATATTGCCATATATTGCCATATATTGCCATATATTGCCATATATTATCTATGAGAAGCCAAGCTTTGCAGCTTTGTCTGCACATGTTGGAAAAGAGTTTGGAAGCGGTTTGTCTCCGCCCTGATCCAACTCATTGCGCCATGGCCCTGCCCTGTCCAGGTAACGATGCCAAGCTGCCGTGTGATGGCATTCTGTTGCAGGGCAGCCTTATCGTGAATGAGTCAATGCTCACAGGCTGGATGCTAAAAGTGCATGAAAGTGCCTGAAAGTGCATGAAAGTCCTCAGTTTCTTTGGATAGGTCTGAAACACTGCAACATCGAATCTACTTGAAATTGAGGTAACTAGCGGAAAGGATGCTGGATTTTGACAGGCCAATCTGCAACAGTTCTTATATCCAGATCGAAAGTGACAATCCCTTGGGAGACTCCCCTACTTCCTATTGATTTCGGGACCTGCAGGGGTGCTTGTCCAGCAAGAGTGAGCTCGTTGAGCTTTTAAGCTACCAAGAAAATCTCTCATGTGTCGGAGCCAGTTTTCCTTGTGTTCCTGCTTTCCCAGCATGACAGGGCAGGTGCACAGTACTTTTTTCTTCTCACATACCTGTCTTTGTCATTCTTTGTCCTTGTCTTCCTCGTCTCCGTTCTACTCGAATTGTCAGGCTTGATCCTGACGTAGCATGCCATGATTGTCTCTGTGAGGAGAACCAATGCCAATTGCCAAAGCCCCTGTTGAGAACAACACAAATTTCCGAGTGACCGACAAATTGAACAAGGCTCGCGCAAACAAAGCACCGGGTCACCTCGTACAAACTTGACTAGCTCTCTGCTTTCTTGCTGCAATTTCATCAAGACAGTGAAGAAGCTACGTTTTTTTTTGATACGGGCACACCTGCAACTATTTTAAAGTTCAGGCCCATTCTTCTTGCGAGCATGAAGTCAACTAAGAAACGCATTTGAAGTACAGCGGACTCGTGTTGTAGAGAAATAGATAGATTTTTTGTAGATTTCAGAGCATTTGATCAGTTGCGTAGCTGCGTGATGGTGAGGCCTACGCTGGCACACTGGCGTTGGAGTCAACTGGGCCAGCTGAGGGCAAGTCGATTCTGTACTGCACCAACGTGGGTGCCTAGCCTGCATAAACATGGTACGATATTTTTTGCTTTTAGAAACATGTTTCACCTCATTGCCAGGGATAGGTCCTATCTAACAAGACATAACAAGACTATATCACTTCTAAGTGGCTTTTGTTCTAAACAAGAAATCAAACAATGCGATGTGTCAAAGAATCCAGCCATGACCCAAAAACATCACACACTGTAGTGTCACTATTGTTTTTATGCAGACAAACCCGATCACGAACTGTGTCTTCTGGCCACTTGAAGCACCGTCACTGGATTTGTATGACTCATTGTATGATTGTACCTTGAACATCAGGTGCTTTGACCACCAGAGGCAGGACACAACCTGTGCACATGGTCGCTTTAACAATGTGTCATGTGTCCAGATATCGATTGTGTATGATGATTCTTTTGTCAATCTGCAGGGCAATTGGTTCGGATGGTCCTCTTCCCCGCGAGTGTGAAATTCAAGTACAATGACCAGCTGCCCATTGTGTACTCCATCATGTCAATCTACGCTTCTCGAAAGCACTTGCACATGGCGACTTTCACCTATATCGACACACGCACAAACACACACACATGACAGAGATTCAAGCGACTTTCACGTCAAATCGACAAGTTCTACATCAAGTCCCAAAGCTGGTTTCCAGATCTGGAGCACGACCCCAAGAGAAGGCAGCATATCTGGGTAATGTATTATGAATTGTTATGACATACGTTACATACAGACTGTGTGTAGGATTATCAAATAATTATTATTCTAAGGGGTGCTTAGGGTACTCTCTTGTCTTTGTGGCAACAAAAAGACCCCACTACAATCCCACCAGAAGACTATAAAACCCTTCAAAAAAACAAGAAACACCAAATGAACCCCATGGGATTTGATTGGTTTTGTTGGGGTTTTGTAGGTTGTCTTAAGGCTAAAGCAATTAGTGTCTGTGGGATGACATATTCAGATGACAATGGATGATGACATGAGTTGCTGCAGAATGGGTTCAGTCCAAGCCTCGCCATTTGCGTCAAGGCAGGATGCCCACCTCCAAGAGAAAGGGTATTCCTTGGAAATGTTCACTCCCAAAGGATTACATTCACCATCCCACCCAATCAAAGCACCATCCCAACCCAACCACTACACCACCTCAACCATTAGGATGATACATTATCATTATCATCATTAAAGTATTCAACCAAAAAAAAATCTTTAGATGACACATGCTCCCCCCCAAAAAAACATCCACCCCTCAGTTTACAATGCTGGTAAAAAAAGGGCAGCATTCTGTTCCATCATTTCAATTTCCAAAGTTTGTGCTTGGACAGCCCTGGGCAGCTTTCCCTATTTGTGGGATTTTGGTGGGGTTTGGGTGGGCTTTTGATGGGCTTTTAGTGGTGTTAATTGGGAATTAATTGGGGTTTGATTCTTCATCGGTCCATTTTAGATTGGTTTTGGTTACAACCATGTTTGGTGGCACTGACCCATTTTTGGGAGTTTGGTGGGGTTATGGTGGGGTTTTGATGGGGTTTTAGTGGCAATCAAGTAGGAATGTTGTGGGCTTCTTGCGGGAAATCATGAGGCCACCAAAAAACCAGGCAAACCACCATTGGAATCCCACAAGGCATTGCCAAAAACCAAATTGACACCCACATCAACAACCCACATCAACACCCCTAAACACACAGCATTTAGAGAGTCTTTAGCTGGTGATTGGATACAGTTTTGCTGGCCCAAGCCAAGCACTGTAGGAGGTTAACTACCATGGCTAGTGGTGATGAGATTTATGATGCTGAGAGAAAACATGTGTGACTTGTGCTGGATTGCTAGGGATTTGGTTGGGGTTTCCCATGATTTTATTTAGGGTTTTCTGTGGTGTTCCAGGGCTTGAGTGGGAACAAACTGGGTTTCCACTGGGAAACATGTAGGCCTAGAAAAATCAAGAAATACCATAACAGATCGGTATGGCAAACATTCCTATGATTTATGTGAAAGAGTTTGCTTTGCTTGGCAAACCGAGATTGCCATTGTGGTCTTGGTGCTCATTCTTTTGTCGGACATCGGTTCCCTAGTGGCGACGTACCTTACAGCCTTCTAGCTGCAGCTACAGCAGGGTTTTTGTTGATCGACATGTCCCCCAAAAGGAAAGCAAGCGAATGTGATATGCCAAAGAGACTAAAAGAAAATTCTTGAATGAAAAGAAACACATTTCACGATGAAGTCTTGGTTGAAGTTCTCCGGAGTCTGTGAGCCCAGTCGACTAGCTATCCTGCAAAAATCAACACAGGTCTTGTGCACAGTGGCAATGGCACTGATGCTTGGCAAAGATGTTTATTTTTTTGATGTGTCTTTGGAAGATGCATCATCTAACTTCTACCGAGAGCTTTGTGCGAAGTGTTCCATGGTCGCTGTCTGAGGAATCCCATGCTCCCAGTGTCGATGGTCATGGGCCAATCCGTATCTGCTGGACGGCTTGATGACCCGAAAGGTGATTATCATATCAAGTGCCTTCAGCCGGGCAGGAGCCTGGTCATGTTACCCTTCTGGTCACAGCAATCCTGTAGCATGACCAGCAGTGGTTGGTCAGCAGAGTTACCACTTTCTCTGCGAAGCTGCAGGATACCCATTGCTGGGAAGATTTCAACCATGGTCTTTGACAAGACTGGAACCATTACCAAGGTGCCGCTGTACTTTCATTCTTTCATGATCTAAGACATACAAACACACACACACATTGTTTATAATATATAATTATAGTAGTACAAAATGATCACATATAATTGATGATATATAATTATGATATATATATAGATATATGATATATATGATTATAATATATAATTATAAAATATATTTATAATATTTGATTATGATATATAATCATAATATATAATTATAATAAAAAAACATATAATATATAAATATATTATATATATAATTATGATATCTATCTATCTATCTCTATATATATATACATAATTATATATACACATGTATTTATGATACCTTTCGGATTTCTGAATCCAAGTCGCTGTTCAAACAATATGGCCAAGCACAGAGGCGGGGATGGACTTCGCTGGCGTCTATGGTGTGAGTGGCCAGCGATTCTGTGAAAAGGCGCGGATGTCCTGCAGAAACTCGTATAACCTGGAGTATGGTTCCGCTTTCCAACATCAGACATTTGTGGTGAGAGATATTTGTTGCAAATCATGCAGTGAAGCAGACAGCGGTGATGGGGATCAGCTGTGACAGGTACAGTTCGATGATATGGATCCTGAAAGCCAACAGAACCGAAATTTGATTGACAACGCGCCGGGAGCCCAAGCGACTGACCTGAGAACTGTGAGGAAGGCCTTTGTTTGCTAGATAGGAAGACAGGTTTAACATAGATACCCATGTTCTCAACTCCAGTTCTATAAATCAGAGAGGTTCACAAGAAGAGAGGGCTGGACGTTGAGATTGGCGTTCACTTCAGGGCTCTCGTACCTGCAGTTCTGCGTCGAGCAGAAGACTCAGATAAACAGACTTACATAGACTTACATCCAATCCAAGGACACGACCTTTTTCAAGGTGTTTCTTTGTTTCACTACTTGGTTTCGCCTGTATCATGGCACTGCAGGAGTAGACAGGTGATACGTCAAGCCAGCTGTGACTTGATCATTCCCGTGGTGCTGTTGCATGCTGTTGCTTTTGGCGCTTCAGAAACATCAAGACTAGCTAGACAAGCTGTGAGCTCCTAAGGCATAAATTGGTGTACTTAGTGCGCTTAGTGACGCTAGGTGACATTCCAAAGGACGCGGCACCCGTTTTCGAATGTTCTCAACTCTGAGGCATTGGCCACTTGCCACACAGTAAAGCAGCTGGGTAGCACAGGGGCTTTGGTTGGCAACCAGGCGCCGATGCATCCCTATGGCAGCTGGGAACATGAAGACTAAATGAAGTGGAGCTCACCGATGTACTGAATGACTTCCGGAAATCCATGTTGTTTTGTCTTGTGCATGAGAATGTGTTGGCCTCATTGATTATGAGGGAGAGCATTCTTCCTTCTGAAGGTCTCCAAAACCGAAGAACCCGGAAGCTCAGTTTAGAGAGGTTGTAGGACTTGGATGGACTTGGTACGACCCAGTACTCGTACCCGATACTCTCCCTTCCCAGGGGTTTGTTCCAGGTGGAATGCGCCATGGTCAGAACTGTCGGTTGGAGCTTGGGGAAGCAGGAGCAAAACGACTTGATGGGAATGCTGTTTTATGCTGTTTCGGAAGGTTGTTCAAAGTTTTTCAAAGAAAGGTCACAGCTTTTGACCTCAAAGACGGTTGAGTCAAATTCCCCAACGAAATCCATCGAAATCCCATCCACTGATGATGTTTTCTCCGAAGCAGGAGATGACGTCTCCACAGGGAGAGGTGCTCCGCATCGTGCGGGAGCTGGAGTTTGACCATCACAGCACCTGGGTGAAACGCGTTTTTTTTTCCCCTTTGCGTTTGATTATTGAACAGTCAGTTGTCAGTTGTCTTTGAAACTTATCTTCGTGGTATCCTGTGAACATGATGTGATAACTGTGATAACATCAAGCCTCTGCACATTGAATCTTTGAACACCACAAGGCATGACAAGCGGAGCCGTGGTGCGAGACAGCAGCCAGCGGCTGGAAGTCTTCATCAAGGGTAGCTACGAGAAGGTGAAGGACTGGAATGAAGAGACCAGTCCGGACTGGTCCTTGTGTGAATCCATTGATGGCACTGCAGATGTTGGATTTGAATGGATCTGGTGAAATTGCGCAGGAAACAACACACTCGCCAACCATGATTGCATCAAAGTTCACTGCAGCATACTCTTGCTTTGATTGATTTTGATTGACTACCTAGTTGCAAGCTATACGGTAAATGTTTTCCTGCCAGCGCTGTTTCAGTCCTTGGCCTTGCCTCAGACTGTGCCTCCAGACTATGACCAGGCTTGGCTGCGACAGTGAAGCCTCGTTCAGCAACTGCTCTGTGGGGCTTGCGGGCTACGGTCTTTCAATGACTAGGTAAGAATCACATAAACATCCCGTCGGGGGGAATACCGCGCCAGCGTTTTGAGCGTTTTGAAAAAAAATGTCGTTTTCGCCATAGCGAAACTACTGATTCATTCCCCGAAATAGGCTTAAATTTCCCCGGATTTTGAAGTGTTTTTTGATGATGACCTGTAATTTACAGGGAATTTGTTCCTGAAAAGGTGCGCGGTGTTTTTTCCGCGCGACCAGTGAGCTCCAAAAGACTTTTGGTCTTGGAGTTCCTCCAACGCCATTGCCACACCCTGATGCTTCGCATCAATTCTGGGTTAACATGGCCGTTGGATCTGGTCGAGAGACTGCATGGCATGGCGGACTTTGCTAGTCGCCACATCGCGGTGACACAAGCTAACATGAACGTTAACATCCCCACCCCCCCAACCCAGTGACGAAACGTACGATGTGCATGTGACGCAAGTTAACATGAACGTTAACATCCCCACCCCCCAACCCAGTGACGTAACATACGATGTGCATGTGACGCAAGTTAACATGAACGTTAACATCCCCACCCCCCAACCCAGTGACGTAACATACGATGTGCATGTGACGCAAGTTAACATGATCGTTAACATCCCCACCCCCCCCCAGTGACGTAACATACGATGTGCATGTGACGCCAAGTTAACATGAACGTTAACATCCCCACCCCTCCCAACCCAGTGACGTAACGTCAGATGTGCATGTGATGCAAGTTAACATGAACGTTAACATCCCCACCCCCCCAACCCAGTGACGAAACGTACGATGTGCATGTGACGCAAGTTAACATGAACGTTAGCATCCCCACCCTCCCAACCCAGTGACGTAACGTCAGATGTGCATGTGATGCAAGTTAACATGAACGTTAACATCCCCACCCCCCCAACCCAGTGACGTAACGTACGATGTGCATGTGATGCAAGTTAACATGAACGTTAACATCCCCACCCCCCCAGCCCAGTGACGAAACGTACGATGTGCATGTGACGCAAGTTAACATGAACGTTAACATCCCCACCCCCAACCCAGTGACGTAACATACGATGTGCATGTGACGCAAGTTAACATGAACGTTAACATCCCCCCCCCCAACCAGTGACGAAACGTACGATGTGCATGTGACGCAAGTTAACATGATCGTTAACATCCCCACCCCTCCCAACCCAGTGATGTACGATGTGCATGTGACGGATAAAAAAGGTGTGTTTTCAAAAACGGTCAAAACGCTGGCACGGATTTCCCCCCACTGGCATAAACATGTTGTGACGGACGTTGTCAGGGCATTCCGGTCTCTTTGTCATGGTTCAGCCATCTACAAAATCTGGACTGTCTGGATTGTACATATCTCACTGGCCGAGCAAAGAGGAAGATGGTTCGGCTTGGCAGGTTGTGTTCAGTCTGCCAAACTATGACAGTGGTGGCTTCTTGTGAGGATCCAGGATTAAGCGTTCAGTTGGTTCCTTTGTATTCTACTGTTTGTTGTGCCGTTGCTCAAGTACTCTTGTTGGTTGTGGCCTTAGCGTCCCGTATCGTGGTGCTCTTGCACAAGTCTTTTTGGGTGTAGCGCCTTGCTCCAAACACGTGCCGGTCCTTCGCACGCATTACATCTTTGGAGTGCGTTGCGCCACTACAGTTTGATCACTTGGTGAATCAAGCTCATGTCGTTTGATGTCGTTTGTACCCTAGTTTGCTTTGGTTCATGATGCCGCCAAAATCTAATTGCCGTTTGTTCTGGTTTGGGTACTGTTGTTGTCTGGTATTAAATATCTTTGCTTTGGTTCTACCGGTCCTTGCTTGGAGGCCCTTATATTGAGTTTGCTGTGTTCTGATCATGTGTAGTGTGCATGTGTCATCATGTGTTTGTATACTTCTGTACAATGGTATAGTGATGTATAGTACTACTATTAGGGTCTGGCAGGCAGATGGTCTTGGCATGTCTCCAGAAAATCCACTGTTCCTGGTGTCCAGTGGGAGTCGAGTGCCTTAAGATGCCTTGGGGACGGGATGATCGGGTTCATGGCAAATGGGGTGTATCACGTAGATGTGCTAGTCAACTGGTCTTGTTTGCCAAAGGTAGTTGATGTTTTGATATTTTTTGCACGTGTCTTGCTTCACTCACTGCAACCAGCACCAGATTCTGTTTCTGTCTCCTCTTTATTTGCACACCCTGTTGTCATAGCCCCATCATCATCCTCATCCACATCGTTTTCTTATTCAACCTTCTTATTCCCTCATCATTATTGAATCAATCAATTGTCATCGTCGTCATCGTGGTCATCGTCGTCATCGTCGTCATCGTCATCAGCATCTTCTACATCTTCATCATTGTCATCATTGTCATCACGAGCAAAATCATAATTCATGATCATCACGATCATCGCGACTTTCACTTTCAGTGTCCTTCCTCTTGGTTTGTAGATAGCACTTGGTGTCCGAGGTGCGCTTGAGATTCCTGAGTTTGCTACATTTGCTTGATTTTGCAGAGTCATAGGAGTGAAGCTGCAGAAGAACACCGACTCCCTATGACTCCCTTGCTTCTTTAATCTTCTTTATTGAGTGTGGCTGGAGGTCACCATGCAATGTGCCAAACAGAACTACTACACCTTGGGGATCTCCAACAAGGCTCTCCGTTAACATGTCGCTTTTCTTGGACGTCACTGTACAAAGGGAGGCTAACATAATCACTCACGTTTAGGGTAACACACCTGTGGTCACTATTGAATCTTTTTTCAGAGTGCGTGCGTGCATGCTTTTTCAACAAACGCATATCTAGCTTTTCAAAAAGCCTCACTGACGGTTCGATGCAACGCACGGCAGGATTTGGGTTCGATGTCCGACGATCAGGCCCTCCCACAGATCTTTGTCATCTGATAGACAGATTACAGATGCATGCCGATTCACGCAGATGAACAAGTTGGTATCCACTTACCAAGTTTTCATTTGTCGTGTTCCGTGGAAATTGGTCATGAGAATACTACGTTCTTCTATGAAGATGTTGTGGCGACTATTGGAGTGCCAAACATCAAACTTGCCAGAGAGTGTGCTTGCTAATCCTTGTTTCACAGGTTCGCAACATGCCAAGGGTCGCTTGGTTTGAATATAGTTCCTGCTGGCTGATTATCCAGGCTGGAATTTCATTATCCAAATCTGAGCAAGGAGCAGCTTGAGCGCGACGTGAGCATATGCGGCCTCCTGTTATTCCGCAATGCACCTTGAAGTGCATATTGGAAGGAGTTGTTTTAATTGTTCGGCACCGACGATCGTTTGAGCCTTTTCTTTGAACCAAAACCAGAAAAACATGACACAACTTTGGTCTTGCATGCAAAGATCGGCTTTTCAAACCTCCATTTCTGCATGAGGGCAAAGTCCACCAGGTTGAGGTTTAAAGGCCTCAAAGTCCCAAAGCATCTGAGGAGATGAAAGCAGACTCCCCTGACGCCATCGAAAGCTTGAAAGAAGGCTCTGTGCGCTCTGTGATTTGCACCGGCGACAATGCCTCGCACTCAGAGGGTTTGCACTGAGAGCACAGAACTCGGGAAACTGCAGCATTTGGTTGATTACTGGTGCGGAGACTTGCCTCTCCAATAGAAATCTACATACTTGGTTATGTTGGAGTTTCAAGCCTTTTGATGCCTGCACGTGTCTTAGGAGCTTACTGGCATAGCCATTGGCAGGCAGGAAAAGTGGAAAGAGTCCAAACGTCTCACTGTCATGAACCCTAATCTTCTTCGTGCGCAAGAGGCCGTTACAGACAACTGCTCCATACTACCAAGAAAGACATTGTGATGGGGCCTTATAGCAGTGGCCATGATCGGACAGAGTCGTTGATTTTGTCGAGATCGCCAGTTGGCCAGTTGATGAGACCAAGAATGTTTCCAGGCTTTGTGGTGTGGTCACCACAAGCATTTGCCTCCGTGGAACTATGGAGAACGGCTCCTTGTTTGGCTCAGTTTTCCTTCTGGCTGAACTGGTTATTAGATCTCAAGTTCCAGAAACGGTGATGTTGTATATTGAAATACTTTGAGGGTCTAGTAGATCCAAAAGAAATCCGGGCAAGTGAGGAAAGTTGGTCTGGAACGATCCTGACAACGAGGGGCATCGCGTGGGGAGCCCAGCTCAAAGAGGAATGAGGTGTCGAATGAAGTGTCGAATCCAGCGAAGCAAACAGTGAAGCAACGTTTGTTCAAGTTACCAAGCTGCATCAGCTGCAGATTCTTTTCACATGCTATCCACAAGCTTCCACAAGCTCTGAGGTCTCGCCTGATTATCCTGATCCGCATTGTCAATTGGCGCTCACATGTTCTGCCTGGCGATATTTATATGAGCAGAAGCAGGACTTGGAGGTGAGAATTTGCGCACTGAGAGAGTCGTTCATTCCTTCCATTCTCTCCAATGGTCAGAACTGATCAATGGGGAACGGGAGAGCAAACATCCCGGCAAGCAGAATGCTGCTGGCAGCAGGAAATCCTGTTGAAACACAATCGAAGGAAGACTTAGATGGTGTCTCTTCAGGGAAACAGAATGCAGAATTCTCTACTGCTCTTCTTCCTTACATCCTGCTGTTCCCGTCAACCTTACAACAGTATTTCAACGTACCTCATCATTTAGACATTAAGACTCAATTTATTTCAATCTCCTTGCTATGCCGGCCCGCTGGCAGCACCTATGGGGTCGTTGTGTGGTCTTTGCACGCATGAAGCCCGATGACAAGATCAATGTCGTGGCCTTTGAAGTGATGTAAAGCTCAAGCTGAAACATGATTCAAAGACATGGGCTGAGTTGCATGTTCCCGTACCTCACTCCACAACTGCCCAATGTTAGGTCGTCAAGTATTTGCAGGGCCGTGGCCTGGTTGTAGGCCACAGATTGGAACGGGAGTTGTATTGCATTAAGCTGTGTGGTCTGGAAAGCGATGGCAGAGGAACTAAGCCTGATTTGAGTTATTGGAGAAACATCACAATTTTGGCACTTCGACTTTCAGTTGATCCAACATTTTCAAATCTTATTTCTCACATTTCTCACTGCAGATGTTGCAGGCATGGCAGGAGATGGCGGCAACGACTGCGGCGGCCTCCGGGCTGCACATGCCGGCTTGGCCCTCTCAGATGCTGAGGCAGAAAGCGTTGCTGGGTTTTGATCATGGTAGAAAGCAACTTGATGATGCTTGACAAGAGTACAGTTGGCAAAAACCTGCAAACATTCTCGTAAATTCTCTCTGAAACTCTCGGGAGGCATGCTCACACGAACTCTTTTTGCTCGCAGATGGAAGAGAAGCACACTACTTTCTTTCTCTCGGTTTCAAAACAAATTCCGACTTGAAATCATGGTTATAAAAAGCCACTCTTCGTTGGTCGGGGTTCGCTTGCACAATGAGTGACCTTGTCAGTTGATTACTTCAATTTGCAGGCATCAATGGTTGCACCCTTCTCCACTGGAAGGCTGGGAAAAGGACTGCCCTGGCCCAATTTGCTGCACTGTTTTCACGACCAATAGCGCTGGGCATGTGGTTTACTGATGCTGGCTTGACCAAAAGATCGAGTTTCTTTGAAATCCTGATGCAAGGGTCACCTACATCTTCATTCAAAATGCAAGCAGAGGGAGTTGGTTGCCAACAAAGAAGTAATTCTGGAAGCAAGCCTTCAACTTTCAGAAGGTTTCTGGAATGAAGGAGCTGCCAAGAACGACATCTCATTGACAACAGTCCCGGATTTGATCAGGGAAGGTGACTTGATATGCAATGATGAAGTTATGATATGTCATGTGAAATAGCCATAGGGCATCCCTCTTATCATCCCTTGTATCTAGCTTGTCTTTCTAGTTGTGAAGATTTCATTTTAGCATTGCTACCTTTACATTTGGCTCAAGCACTGCGGTAAAAAAGTAACTTGCCGTTGTTGCTTGCGCTTGGTGTCGTAAACCCCCTACTTGGCTGTGGTAGGTGGGTTTAACTGGTGAACAGCCTCAGCCTAGGCCACCAATTGGCCATCCATATTTGCTAGCTCTAGGACTTGAGCCCCAGTGTGATCCCATTGCACGCTCAGGCCATCTGTGCTCACAGCTTGCAATCACTGCCGTTTGAACCTCCAAAGGACAGACGGTATAAATAACTGGTGCGGGGTGCTCGCTGTCCAGGGCAACACCGCCCGGGTGAAGGACAGTTTCGCCACCTTCAATATTTGTAATCCTGTGTGTTGCATAGGCTTCAATAATAATTGCTTGTCCCTCAAACATACTTGCAATTTCGCTTGTGCATTTGCCATTGACCACACATAGTTCATTGCTGTGTCGGGGGATTGCTGCCTAGCAACACCGACGTACTAAATTCCAGAATCCGGCCGAGAAAGGATAAGTAGACCTCACTTGATCGTTGTAGGACCTTATCCAATTGTCCTGTGAACTGTATTGCATCAGACCATCCAAAGGGTTGTTGCTTTTGTGTTTTTCCTGTCCCTGAAACATACCCGAATAACAGAAGTATTTGTCAAAAGAGTTGTGCCAATAACACGCTTTTTTCCGATCAAGCAAGGATTGCACTAGAAGCCCAACAGCAGAGTCGCCTCGCTGTTGCATGCCAAGAAGGGGACGTCAACGTCAGAGGTCCAGGTCTCCGATCCCGGTTGACTCAGACAGGGTCGTAATGCATCGGTATCGCAAGGTCCAGGACGAACAGAGGGAATACAGTGGCGTAGAAGGTTCAAATCCGCCTGTTTGTGCCTTCTTGTATACATTGTCATTGTTTGACGCATTGATCGCTCACCGAGACTTTGACGACTACAGTACTTTTGGCGTGGTAACAATCCGAAGGAGACAGCAGCAGGGTGAACGAAATCCAAGCGAATATCTTCATTCCCAGGAGGAGACAGCCATTGCTCCAGAGGTTGAGGAGGAGGAGGAGGAGATCGATTCAGTGGTGGGTGACTCTGTGTGTGCTTCATCTGCATCGGAATCTGAATCAGAATCAGATCATCAGAATCCACCTACTAGTGCAGTTGTTTGGTCCCAAGACCATCGGTGTATCAGCCTACAGCTCCAAGATCTTGATTGTTTGCAGGGGTTTCTGTGACATCGGCCAATCCATTGTTCCAACCAAGACCAACTTCTGCACAACTTGTCCACCCAATTGGCAAGCCGGTTCCCAAGGATTAGAGTTGAGATCGTCCCACATCCGAGGGTTCAATACACAGATCGACTTTTGATCAATGTAGATTGGCATCAGGTTTGTGACGCAATCCGACTGACCAAAGCTACCCTTCGTCCAGTGGGTTACAGAATCGTGCCGGAATTGGGACAGGTAATTTCCAGATTGAGAGCAGCATTCCCAGATTGCGTGGTAGTTTTGCTGAGCTACTGTTATTGCAGCCTGTATTGCCTCGAGTATCGAAGGGGTGTGTTGAGCATTGCAGAATTGCCAAGCAACCCTTTTGATCACGTGATCGTCACATCTGAGAGGATCAGGACTGGCAGGAAGCTTTTCACGTTGGGGACGTTGGCTCATCAGTCTCGTGGCATTGCTCACATTGACGGCGCTTTGGACATTGCAGAAGAATTCTCGACTGCGAGTGGCCGCCATCCCAATATCCTGTTTGTTGGGGCCAAGGTTCCACGACACTGGAGGCACCAACGGCTGATCCAGACGGAGTGGAAGCGCAACGTGTTGGAGGCAATCGAGCTGGTCCAGAGCAAGTTGCATTCCATCCAATCCTTGCCCGATAGATCGCGAAATTGAGTAATTTCGAACTCTTGACACAGGGGCTTGCCAACCGGCAACATTGTGGCTTGCATAGCATAGCACTTTCGGTCCGAAGTGATTGAAAACAGGGTGTGATCCAATCCAAAGGTTTGTTGAGCATTACCTTCCAAAAGTCCAGACCCGAGGGATTTGGCATCAACCTCGTATCACGGGTTTCGACCCCTTTGGTTTCAAAGGTCCGGCATTTTGCTAAGTAGTGTCAGCCTCCGTTATGCCAACCCTAAATGAGATAACCATGGGAGCCCCGGAATCAGAAGAGTCATCTTCGCAAATCTCATCAACATCGCCAGAGCAGTTGGTTCCGTCGATTCCTTCCAGGGCACTCCATGTACAGAAATCGAATACAAAGCAGAGTGCGACAGAGAGTTCATCCCGAAGTGGCAGCCAAGGGTCTAGGCCTCCAACGGGTCGATCATCCAGGGAGATCACGCATCGGGGACCGGGATCAGTTCATTCCCAAGACCAAAAATCTTAGTCCCAGCACTGTCAGGACCAGAACATTGTCTTGCAAGATCAGCGGACCTTCGTCCACAATCAGGATCAGAGGCAGTTTCAGGTCACGGTTGGGGTGGATCCGGATGTTGTTCATGCAGCTTTAAGTGAGGCTAGGAGTCGTGAATCCCAAATTAGGTCAGAGGCCAGTGCTATTGTAAGTGCGGCTAGGAGTCGATTAGAATCCGAGTCTCATGCAATGCGAACGCAAGTTGAAGTGTTGCAGCAACAAGCACAGCTTCATACCAGGTGTTGAAAGTAGGGCCCGTGATCTAACCTCAGAAGTGCAAACCAAGCATCAGCAGGAGATAGATAGGATTCAGCAGATTTCCAATGAAGCTCATCAGAACTCTCAACAACTGTTGCGCGATGCGCTCCAGAAAATCAAGTGTTGGTAGAGAAGCTCAAAGAGCAAGAGTATCTACTTAACCAACAAAGAAATGAACAAAGAGAAATGCGTTCCCAGCCAGTTGTTTCCGAAAACCAAACACCTGAAAATGGCGCGGTAAACGAAAGTGATCTGGTTCAAGCCATAATGCAACTGCAGAATGATGTTTGCGTTTTGCAGCATCGTCCCACGATTCCGGTGGTTGCACAGCCTCCAGCTCCTATCCCAATTGGAACATCACATGGTGAGTATGCTACACCTATGTCAGGGATGTCCGCATGTGCCGGATTTAATCCTGATGCGCCTGCAACCAGAGAAGCCTGGGTCTGGTAATGGTCGTAGTAATTAATGCGGGTGGGGTTCCAGCCAAAACACTGGTGTCTTTGCCAACAGCATCATTACACCTGTGCAACCTGGATCGTCAGGGGGGGTCAAGTGACTCGTCGTCCGACAGTAGCGGGCGTGGCGGAGGTGGCCCAGGGTCGCCACAGGGTCCACCTGATTATGGGGGTCCTTTGTCGCCACACGCTCATGCAATGTCTGTTGGATCAAATGTTTTGGGTTTTACATCCGAAAAAGATGTGTATTGTTCCAAGGACTTATCTTTGATAAAGATTGATAGCCTTCCAGCTTCAGCTGCAGAGTTCAGGTCATGGAAAAATACGATACTGACTAGGATTGCCGCGATCGACCAGACTGGTTCAGATGTTGTGTTGAGCTGGCTGTTGGGATGTTTCACTGAAGGTTTGCAACTGCAGGACTTTATGCATAGTGGTTTACTCCACGTTTGGACATGCGCATCGGTTCGCTCATGATGGATCCGAAACACCTCAAAGGGGAGTTAGAGATGCAGTTCAAAACATATGCAGAGTCTTGTCAAAATGCAGGCAAGGCACCCCGTCCAAAATTCTAGGAAGACTTCATTCTGTATCAAGAAACCTCAAACAAATAACCATGACCTATGATATGAGATCGTACACCCAGGGTATCATAGATCTATACTGTGAGTTATCCGGAACCCTCCACGAAAAGTTGAAGTCAGCGCCTAATCCGTGCTTGCCTGAATCGTTAATGTCAGATGCAAACTTCATGCGAGAAGGGGTATTGCATAAGCACGCTGCTCACATTCTCATCAGGTGCTGTGGTTGTCACGGCTGGCGAGATCTGACGTCAGTTTTGCTGTTGGACGGTTAACAACAAGGGTTTCCAAATGGACAGATTGGGAGGACAGGCAAACCTTGCGTTTGATTTGTTATCAAAATTCCACTCGGAATCATGTTTTTCGGGCATCTGCTGATCCCAGCGAGAAACCTGAGCTGCTGGTTTTCACAGATTCAGACTTTGCATCGTGCCCATATACATGCAGAAGCACGTCTGGGGTAATCTATGTTATCAGAACGGGAGAAGTCGTGTACTTCCCAATCCTCTGGTCATCAAGAAAACAAGGTTCGACTGCTCGGTCAACCGCAGAAGCTGAGTTGATCACATTTGCAAGTGCGCTGTTCGGAGAAGTTCTGAATCTCCATGAGATGCCGAGTACACCACCGACATGGCAGTCCCTCTTAAATTTGAACAAGACGATCAAGCTGCAATCACAGTCATTCGATCTGGGTACAGCGCAAAATTGCGCCATCTCGGTAGAGTGCACAAGGTCATTTTCCAAAGTGTGAACGAGCAACTTGAGAACAACACGTTCAATCTGGAATACTGTGAGACCTCCATGCACTTGGCGACTGGATTCACGAAGATCATCTCTAACGGAGTTGAATGGCAAACCACTCTGCAACAACTATGCATTCAGCCAGCCTCGTAGATTTACATCCTTGAAATCAGTGCTGACTGCAAAGCAAGAAGCACACGGGAATTGAATGTAGGGCTGCTAGCCGGGATGAGGGGGGAGTTATGATATGTCATGTGAAATAGCCGTAGGGCATCCCTCTTCTCATCCCTTGTGTCCGGCTTGTCTTTCCAGTTGTGAAGAACTCTTTTTGGCACTGCCACCTTTACATTTGCCTCAAGCACTGCGGTAAAAGTCACTTGCCATTGTTGCTTGCGCTTGGCGTCGTAAACCCCCTATACTTGGCTGTCGTAGGTGGGTTTAACTGATGAAAATCATATCACAGGCGCTGTTGTATGTGGTCCAAGGCGATGTAGCATGAATAGTCTGAGAATCAAAGGTTGGCGCGCACATACAGCGTACACCCAAATATCATATTTGAACGCGCGGACGAACTGAAATTACTACGACAATGTGACAAACAGTGATTTTGCCTGCCGCCCATGCAAGCTGTGCCTGTGAGGTCGAGCTTGCCTGGCCACGAACATGGCAACCTTTATGTATTTCATGGTCTATGCCTTTTTGCTGACCACGGTTGCTTAGCACAAGTGCTTGAGATGACACAGGGGTGAGTAAGGATAAGAAGACAGCGTGTGCATTTTTTAGGTCAGATCTAGAAGGTATCGCAGAGGTTCGCAGGTCATGACAGGACATCGATTAGGTCAGTGTTCCTTCCAGAGGCCTCCAGAAATTCTGCCAACGAAATGATAATATCACCAAGATCCAAAAAAAAACAATGCACTGTTTGCCCTTGCTATCCTTGCTGCTTTCCTCGCACTGTTGAGTTGCGAACCTTTTACATCGTCTTCTTGAATATCAGTCTGGGAGAGCCCGAGAGCCCAGCAAGGATTGGACTTGGGTTTCCTGTGACTGTAGATCTCCAAGAGTCGGCTCTCAGATGGTGGTCACATTCTTTGTGTGATGTAATCTGCCAACACCAAGACTTCAGATATCTCCTGATACCTGCTGCAATACTCCGGGTTTTGAAGATTTTGTTGTTGAGTATTAGTGAAAATTTCATGAATTCCTTCCCAAAGAGGCTTCAGGTTGAAGTACTAAGTGGAGTTCCCGAGGTTCCAAGCAAACGTTTCCTGCGGCTAATTCCGCTATCCGCTATCCTATCTTCCAAAAGTCTGATCGTATGTGTTTGGAATATGAAGTGCAAGCAAGGTGGGTGTGGATGACCAATGACACGACCTCAGTGCTTCAAGCTCGCTCAGATCAAGAAATCACTTGCATCACCGTAAATGGAGCAACACACGTCTCTGCTGTTTTCAGAACCTCTTTGAGTCTTTTCCCTTAAACTACAGTAACTTGCTTCTCTTTGTTATTTTCAACTTTCACGACGGTTCAATCCAGCTCAGCTCACCTGCTTGGGAGAGCAGTCCTGACTCAGGACATCGGAGTTGGTGTTATCATGATGCGTCTTGACTGCGTGGAAATGTTGCACCCAGGGACACGTACTTACGACATAATTACGACGTCTTTGTCATGCTCCGGATTTCGATGTGCAGAGAGCTTTGACGGAGTTTGGCTCGTCAGTGTACCGTCCTCAGCCTTGGCGCAGCTACGCTCTGAGGTTCTTCATGACACAAAGCTGGGCAAAGCCAACATTGGCGAAATATCGACCCACCGCAACCTTGCTGGGCTTGCGCACCATCTCAGGCCACATGAGGTGATTTCACTTGAGGTTCATACCCTTTGTGTCTTTGCATCTCTTTGCCTCGGTCCTCCTCCCTGCAGGTGTCATGGTCCCATATGGTTTGGGCTGCATTCTGCTCGCACTCCTAACTGCTCCTTGCATGGCATTGGGTGTCAAACAGATTCAAACAGAATTTATTGAAGACACGAGAAATTTAGCTTACATTAGCTTACCATATGCTACCAGAGTTCAAGGGCAGGATCTTGGAGCAGAATGAGTGAAGGTTGGACTGGTTGGATGTTCGCTTCTACGACTTTGGATGACGGACACTTCCAAGGTTATTCTGCACAGCACTGCTTGGTATGACCCCTTGAATCCAAACTGGATTCACGTGCTTCCAAAGTCTAAAACTCAGCGTTGTATGGGTCAGAATGTCATGATATTTGAATGAACAAAATCTCTACAAGTAGGATGAGGTTCTTCCATGTAACGTAACTCTTTACCCTAAAGAAAAGACGTGTCTTTGCGGTGGCAGATCATTGCTGGAATTATGGCTGCTCAATGGTTGGGTAGCTCGTTGCCCTTGAGGGATTGGATGAAGAAGGGGGACAACTATGACAGCTTCTTGTCTTCAGCCTTCAGCATCAGTTCTCTTCAGTCTCTTTATATTTTTGTCCCAATCCCTTCACTTCATTTCAGAATTCCATGTGATTTGAGGTGCCATTGGGGTTTTGATCCTTTTCATCGTGCTCAGCACAACTGCCTACGTGAACACCTATGGAGGTCAGCACCGACACTGACCACCCGGTGGAAAGCAGCATGCCGGTTTTACATGGTTTGACGGTTTTGCCATGTTTTGCCAGTCATCAGATTTTTACACGAAGTTGTGCAGGTGTTGAGATTGCGCAACGGCGTAACGCATGCCATCTTCGCTTTCATGAATGAAGTACTGCATTCTTTGTCGGTTGTTTAGGAAAGCTTTGCATAGCCTTGTTTGGGGAACCTCATTTGCAACGCTTGGTCAATCAATTGGTGAAATGCAGTTTCCAGGACCACTTTTGTTGCTTGGGCTTCCTTCAAGTGGAATTTTCAGAGCTTTCTCCAATCACCCCCAGACTGAACGAGGCGATTTCCGCCGAGCCATTTGCAGAAACGTGGGCATAAATATAATGTATGCACTGCTGCTTGTCTGCTCTGGGACCAAAGTGGATGAGCACTTAATTTATAGAAGGATATAGGAGCAATACATAGCAATGCCTTTTCTGGAATCAATTGGGTGCTGTCGATCCTCCTGCTCCGCACACAGTTTCTTCATTCCAGAACGATCAGTGCGTTTAAAAGATGCGGTGCTAGTGGCACCTACCATTCATATTGCTTCAAACAGCTTAGCCGCAGTTGCTTGATTTCAATGTTTTCTTCTCTAAAGTGGCTCACAAGTGCACAGACAGATGTCCAAAAATGTCAGAGCAAATTGCCTGCAGAAATCCCACAGAGTAGGGAGTAGAGGTCGAGGTCGGTAAAACTGCTAGCCAAAGCCGCTCATAAGACTCCAAGACTGAAATCACGGAAAGTGTTTAGCAGGGTAAGTTTCGAATATCTTGCTTGCATTTGGAAAACCCAAGGTAGTCGGGTTGCTGTTACAGGAGATAAGCACGATAACGATCCGCGCTCTCCTTTGTGCCACTGTGCAATCTGAGGTTTTTGTTCGTGGTTTTCTTCATGGCACTGTCCAAGCCCAATGAGCTGAATTGCATCTATCGAGTCAACTGTGATTTGTCCTGGTACATGGGATGATTGCTTTTTTTCAGCAGCACACAAACGCTGAGATGTTTCATCAAACGCGGGTTGCCAGCCACATCATAAGCTTTTCAGGCTTGCTCATTTTTCTAGGAAGAAGCAGTCACTGAGACACCTCGAAATATCAGCTGGGCAGCAGCCAGATGGAATTGTAGTTAGTTAGACCTTAGGCTTCACTCCAGATCTGGAATTGTAGTTGAAGTGATACCACCACAGTCAAGCGGTAAGATGATTAAAGATATACTTTGCGGTGGAGGATGAGTATCACTGGTAGGCAGACAGCCCCTGAAATCATGAAACATAAAATAAAATATAATATAATTGAATATCATCATTACACATCATATTCATCGAAGGAAGTTTAGAAGTCAAACTTCCGACAATATGGACAGATGAAAAGCAGAGCAGGGCAGAGGCAGAGAGAAGAGAAAGATTAGAAGAGAGAAGAATAGAAGAGAAAGAGTCAGAAGAAAGAAGATGCAGATGCGCGAAAAGGTAGGAAAGTTGCGAAACAGTGTGTTTTTCCACTGATTTGGGGCTCCGGAG